CCCCGAGGGCCAGGCTGTGCCTCCCGCCCCGTCCCCGCGTTCCGCTCCCCGCCGGTCGTTGGAGCAACCTGCTCGCACGTGGGGGAGGAGTGATGGGGACGGGCGGGGGGGTAACCCAAATCCCGGTTCCCCAAAAGTAGGTCTCTGCTACTCCCGCAGTCCTCACGCTCGGGAGAAACCCGGTTGTTCGAGCGGGGGTTTTGTTTGAGGCTTGAGTTCACCTCAGAAAGAGAGGAGGAGGAAGGATGTCCTGCTCCCTCGGCGCGGGTTTGGCTAATTTTCTTGGAAAACAAACCAGTGACACACATGCGACGCTGACAGGGTAGCAAAGGGGATTAAAAAAAAAACACAAAAAAACCAGCACCACAACAACAAAAAAACCCCCAGCCCTCCTCTCAGCTATCACCACTTTATCACCTGCATGTGCCTGGAAGGAGGCTCTTCCCTCCGCTGAGGGGAAAAAAAAAAAATCAGCTTAGGAAAGCAAAGTTTGAACAGCGAATTCCTGTTATTTCAAAACGCCCCATGTGACAGGATATTTCCTTATCATTTCGAGCCCAGAGCTTTCCCCTGATCCACCAGCCCTTCACAAGTGCGGAGGACCTGCCCGGCGGGAAACCCTCTCCTCACAGCGGCGGGGCGCCACGGGCGAAGCCGCGGCGATGGCTCCTTCCCCGCTCCTGCTTCTCCTCGCACTTCTCCCCCGGGTTTTTCCGCTGCTGGGTAAGTGCCCGCAGGGGCTGTGCGGGATGAGACGTGCCGAGAAAGGAGCGGGGTCGTGGCGGGCACCGAGCCCAGCCAGACCGTGGAGGGGGGGTAGGTAGAAAACGTCCGCGCAGGTGGAGAAGCCCGCGGCCATTTTAACCCCCTCGGTGCTGCCTGAGAAGAGCCTCGATGCGGCGGGGCGGGCGGCTGAGGGAGGGCCCGAGGGGAGGCGGTAGCCTCCCCTCGGGCCCTCCCTCAGCCGCCCGCCTCAGCTGCCTCCCCTCTTCGTCCGCACCCTGAGGTACCCAGCAGGCGAAGCTGCCCGACGAGGCGGCCTTTTGGGTGGCAGTGGTGGTGTGGGTGCCAGACCAACCTGTTACCGGCGGTGCCTCGGTTTCCCTAGGCCTGGGGACCTGGTTTTGGCAGCTGGCTTTCGTGGGGGGATGTTGAGGTAGCTGAGGTATTGGCACGGCTGAGGGCTGCGAAAACAGGTGAAAGCTGTGTTTCTGGGTGAAACCTGGAGCTTACACCCGCGCGCTCTGAGAATTACCATCATTTCCAGCGCGCAGCTATTTTTCAGTGAAAGTTTTGCATCTGCCCTTCCTGAAAGCCTCTCGGCATCCTCCACGCTCCAGGTTGAGGTCTACTGAAGCAAAACTTCATAACGCTGCCTTGTAACCATTCTTGCTTTGTGCAATTAGCAGCAATCATTGTAGGCCATCTGGTAAGCGAGAGTCTGCATGGAGAAGACAGTCATCTTACCTGCTTGCTGCCTCATTGCTTCCCCCTCTTTTGCTTCTGGCTTTTGGTGTGCTTTTCTGGTGCTCTCCATTAGTGTTTAACACTGGTAGCACTTCACTGGCTTCACGAGTTACTTCCTGATTTACACTTGCATAATCTGTGATAGTTTGCAAACGCTGCAGAGTGTGAAGCTACCTTGGCATACTGGAAAATTCTACTGTGGAAAAGATACTTGGCCAGTGAGATTTTACAGTACTTGGCACAATTCTTCAGATACAAGCTGAGGCCAGAGATAGACAAATAGTCACAGTGTGGTGGGTGAAGAAAAATGAAAGCCCGGGAGAAAAATTCTATTATGGTCTACTTGGGACTTTTGAGGGAAAAGATGCTAGATCTCCCTGTATGGGTTATAATGGTGAGGTAAGTTGGTTCCTGTGCCTGGCATATTCCTATGCATTTTAAAGAACCTCCTTTCAGGGCTAAGTTTCAAAATATGGATAACTCTGTTAGAAATTGGTGTAATTCAAAGTACCAAGACTGTGGTACTCACGATCGTGCTGTGGTGGACCTTTAAACGTACTGCCTACAGCTCATCTATAGTGAAGAATTGCATCCTGTTAAGGGAGCTCTATAACAAATGTTGCTACAGAACAGTGAAACACAGTTAATGGTTATATAAGTAATTCTGCTCAGCCCGTTTTACAGATACAGCTCACCATGTTGACAGGAATGGTATCAACTGTTTACACAGGAGAGTTGGCAGGGCATAGAAAGTGTTGCACAAATACCTGGCTTGTTTCATATTCTTCTAGACTATCTAATAACTCACACAGAAAGTGTTGTACGTGAATCTCCTTTGGTGTCCCAGCAGGCAGAGCAAACACAGAAATAAAGCTGTAAACTAGAGCAATACAGAACCGTGCTACAAATCTGCTGTATGGTCATGGATGAGACAGGAGCAACTCTGGGGGGAAGGAAATCCTGCAACTACAGTCTCAGCCACAGTTGCTCCTGCATCCTGCTACCTCCTGTTCTGTCCTCCTGTTTTGGCGCCAACTTCAATGCCTGCTTGGCTGTGTTGGCCCTTTAGCTGCTTACCTATGTATTATTCCCTGTCAGAGCCCTGTGTGTGCTGGGGCACTTGTACAAGCAGCCGTGCTGTGTTTACACACTGCTAACGCTTTGTAAAGATGCAGTCAGAATAGCAGAGGGCCAAAGATTTGTCTCTTTTTTTTTTTTCCCACTGGCCAGACATCTTTGTTCAGCTTTCTATCCTTGTTTCTGAAGCCAAAACTGTGCACCCTTTCAGGCTTGGGTGAAACAATCCAGGCTTTTGACTTTGGGGTACCTTTTTCACATATGTAGCATCCTGTCTTTAACACCATAAGCTGCATAAAATAAGGAATGTTATTTTAGGTCACAAATACAATTGTAGCAGTTTGAAAGATCAGGCAGTGTTTTCCACACATGTGAAAATGTCTGACATGTCTTTTACCCAGAAACTTTAAATAAGATTTCAGGAAAAGGAGAGTTGCAAGCATTGCATATATCAGTTTACAATAACATTGTGCTAAATGCTAGTAGAAAAGCAGAATAAAAAAAGTTATCACCAGCAGTGATAATTATACATTTCCTTGTATTGTCTGTGAGTAAAACAGATTGGCAAAAGGCAACAATTTCTGTCTCCAGTGCTCATCAGTTTTACACTACTTCCCAGTGAGTTGGAAGCCAAAGGACAGGAGAAGGAAACTGAACCATGGATGAGATAAGTCTAGGTCAGCTCTTTCTCTGAGAGAGAGGTTATTTGTTCCCAGGTTGTTCTTCTGCAGAAAAGTACAATCATTTCCACATTGGAGCCTCAGCAGAGAAGGGAAAATTTTCTGTGGTTAACTTGTTTCCCTCTTAAATATTTCTCCATTATAGAATTTGTTTAATTTGGTAATTATACACTAAAATAAATAATGTTTTGATAAGCTTCAATCCCCAGAGTCACATATATTAGTATTTCTCTTTCCTAGCTTGTAGCCCAGTTAAAATATAGTTTTAAGACCTTGTGCATCCTGTTACGTTATGTGATCCAGTATCAGAGAGAACTATTAAGTTACTGTGCTGAAATGTATCTCAAGGGGATCAGAGAGGAGAAATTCTCAGTCTCTGGGCAAGACCAGCTCAGAAATGTTGCACTCCATAGTACATCCAAGTGTAAGAGATGCTAAAAACTTTTCTAGTGGTTATGATTTTGAAATAAACCTTGAATACATGAAAATGCATGCTGTAAAGCACTATTTGCTAAGAGGGAGAAATAACATTGGGAGCTATGAAGAGCCTTGTAGATTTTCATGGGTCATTAAGAGACATAACTGATGATGGCAAATCCCACTGTTGTCAGTATTTTAAGAAAGGAGAAAAATCACTGATTACTCTAGTTGAGTGAAAAATGAATATGCTGTTCTAGCCCTACAAGTAGCTTGTGTATAAAGCTTAAAAAAATATCCTTCCCCTCAGTTAAGACTTAAAGGATCTTAGCAGAGCTTATGGGAACAGAACTCCCCGGTGTGGGGAAATGGAGCCTGAAGAAATTAGTGGCTGTTGTCATCTCCTCACACCTGGAAGCCAGGATCAAGGAGCCAGTGCTGCTGGAGGGCTCAGTGTCAGGATCTGCAAGTGTGTGGTGTGCGTGCTCCCTTGTTTCAGTAACTCCCATGGGTGCAGTTTGGAATAATAACACGAGTGTGTTTTTTCTCTTCAGTTTCAGCCATGCTATAAGTTACAGGAGACACTAGAGCTGCACCTCTGCTGCCTTGTGCTTTTGCATGTAGATGCTTTCACTGACGCAAATAGTTGAAATGTCCTCACATCTGAACTAGTTGCATTCTACAGTCACTTTAACAGGTGTATGCCACAGGAGTACCGCACCTTCTTTTGCTGAACAGATTATGAGATTTTAACCCCAAGAATAGTGTCTAGATTAATATTTCATTTAGATAGTATGTAAGATTACTTCAAACCAAATTATTCCAGTGTTTTTTGTCTTACAGATACTAGCATCTTCTTAATATATAATGAAGATCACAAGCGCTGTGTACTGGCTCAAAGTTCTAATTCAGTGACTACTGCTCCTTGCGTTCAAGAAAATGAGTCACAAAAATTCAGGTGGGTCTCAGATCACCAGCTTATGAGCATAGGATTCAAATTGTGCTTGGGAGTGCCTTCGAAGAAAGACTGGGTTCCGATCACTCTGTATCCTTGTGACAAGGCTAGTGAACTTCAGCGATGGGAATGCAGAAATGAGACTCTCTTTGCAATCCAAGGGGAAGATTTGTTTTTCAACTATGGAAACAGACAGGAAAGGAATATTATGCTGTACAAGGGATCTGGTTTATGGAGTAGGTGGAAAGTCTACGGAACCACAGACGATCTGTGTTCTCGAGGCTATGAAGGTAAAGTTCTGTAAATTAATTTCTGTATTTCAAACTCATTTCTATGTGTTTCTAATTAAAATATTTAGAAGTGTAGGAGAATTTCCTTCATCTCGTTAATGATCAGTGAGTGTGACTTCTGGTGAAATCAGGAATACTTCAGTGTGTGTTTTATGTTTTTTGAGGGGTTCATTTTGCTTTTTTGTCAAAGTTGTCAAAGTTCTGACAGATAATTAACTGTGCATGGTAGTGATTCATTTGAAGAGGGGAAAAATAGTATATGGTTATTCAGAACATGTGTATAACTATTAGACAACAGTTAATGATAGCTTTTACTCTTTACATGTGTACAGAAAGACCTAGTGTAAGTGTATAGTCATGTTGATTATGTTTTTTTCTTTTTCCTTGGGGAGAAAATATTAATTATGCTGTAAGGATTTAGTTAACTCTTGACATCTTCAGCTCCAGTATATTGAAGATGCATTCCTAGGTGTTTGAAGTGAGTCTCAGAGTTGGTGCTGAAGTGTTAGACAAAGAAATAAGATATTTTAAATAGTTAAATTTGAAAAAGTTATGTATGATACATACATACAGACAGACACATATATATTTATGATAAGTATCTGGGAATATGTTTGGCTCCCATTTAGCATTCTTTAATAAAAAGAAGTGGTCACAGAGGGAGGTATGGATGCATTTTCCATGGCTTACACAATGGCTGATTACAGTACTAGTCCTTGTTCTAAAGCCAGAATAAAAGAACTCTAGCAAAGCAAATTATGTGAAAGGAGGCGGGGGGAGATGGCGTGATGGCCTGCCATTCCATCCTCCTTTGTTTTCTAGCAGCTCTGTGAGACAGTGACCTTGGTATGTCACCTCTCTAGCAGTCCCTGTCAAGTAGTGTTCCTCTGTATGTCCTCCCATCAATGCATGTACATTATATGTGCACTCACAGAAAACTGCTTTAGTTACTTTGATAAGTTTCATCGAGTCAGGCTTCCGATGAAACAAAAATTACCTTTAGATGCCAGTGGAAATTTTATTTGGGTGTAGTATATTGGAGTCACCTGTGGTATATATCTTTCAATTTTATATGTACGTGCTCTTCCCTGTGTAAAATGGTCCACAATTGAGTGGGTTATTGACAGAAGAATCAGCAGTTGTTTGTGCTTAAAAAGAAAATTGCTTAACTGTGTGGATTTTATACTTTTGATTGTTATACATGTAAAATTTAACACAGGAATGTACTTGTCTTAGCTCAGTCAGTTCTGGTCAGTGGTCTGCTTAAGCAATAAAAGTTTGTCTCATTGTGGACATGGTTGTCAACTTAGAGAGTAAAATTATCGATGTCCCATTTCTAGTACAGTTAAGCATTGCTTTCTATAATTTCCTATAATATGATCATAAAGCTGAACTGATGTATATCCCATGCTTATGACTGTTTATACATTTTTAAATTCTTATGTCTCCTTAGATACCTACACAGTGAAAGGAAATGCCAATGGAGCACCTTGTGTATTCCCTTTTAAGTTTGGTGATAAATGGTATGCTGACTGCACAGATGCTGGCAGATCAGATGGCTGGTTCTGGTGTGGAACCACTTCAAACTTCGATGTTGACAAGATATATGGATTTTGCCCATTGAAATGTAAGTTTTGTATGTTCATGATTCTGTTGTACTGTTATTCAGCTGACTGGAAATATTGGTGTCTTCATCATGTGCTTTACTGTACAAAATACAGTCTGAAATGGTGCATTTTTCTGTCTTTACTCAGCCTGCTATCCTTTTAGGAACTACTTAAATACATAAATATAGGGCTCAGCATAAAAAAAAATTGACCAACTACATCCAGGTGGAAGTGTGTTAATCATATGCTGGAATCTGTAATTACACCATTTACTTAAATAGACGGTTAATTAGATGTAAAGACGCTACATTAGTATATGCAAAAGGCTGTGTAGAAATTTGTGCAGCAGAACTGGAAGCTAGAATATAGCTTAATTGAAAATTAAGACTACTTTGTAGAATGAGTTGCCTTTTAAACATGAAGGAGCTTACATGAACTTTTTACTAAATCCCAGTATTTCCCAAATCTGTGTGCTATGTTGTAGTTCTGTATTTAAAATCAATGAGAAGTATTTATATTCTAAATTCCCTAGTTTGAGTACAGTTAGAGTTTCAACCATAGTATTATGAATATAAAGATCTTTATTAAGAAATGTTGATATTACTTTAAGTAAATTGGAGTAATATGCCTGTATGTATTTGAGTTCTTTTAAATTTGAATACAGTTTCTCTGAATTTCTGTGAAACATGTACTAAGCATTTTGTCTGCAAGCTGCTGCTTCTTCTGTCATGCTGAGAGAGGTAGCACTTCTCCCTCCCTTCTTCTTATTTATCATGTTTTGCTGTAAAGCTCCAGTTGACCACAGTCAGAGCTAAAGAGAAAAGTATGTCTTTCCTTTGATGTGAAGAAAACAGTTTGGGCTGATCTTAACTGGTTTGGTGATGAAATATTAGTGTCCTTGCCTGATCTCCATGAATGCTGCATTCATTATTTGAGACAAATAAAAATTTCATGTTTGTTTGTTTGTTTGTTTGTTTCTATACCAGTATTATTTTCAAGATATCAAAAAACATGTTGGGAATATCAATCCTATCAATACAGCACATGCAAGGTCAACTTAAGAATGCTACCTGTCTAGTGTTCTCTGAGTATAGCAAATAGGAGGTATCATTAAATTTTGTTTAATTCTTTGGCATAATGCAAGGAAATCCATTCAGATGACTGTGATTGCTTTTGGAAAAAGCTGCTTCATGCTGATTGCCTGCATGTTTCCTTCCTGATTCTTCAGTACTGGCTATAAAATATTCAAGTTTGGGTCATGTATTTTAATGAGAGACAGGCTGTGCTAGCAGAAGTTTTAGTCAGCCCTATGAAAGAGGAGTGCACTGCATGAGAGAGTGATAAGTTAATAAACTTCAATAGCACCTTTAAACATAGAATGTTTAAGTCTTTTTATGTTAAAGTTTATTTAATAAGAGTGAAATGTTTGGTTTTTCTTAAACTGGCTGCGGGAGCAAAGGCGTGATATGAAAATATGTGGTGCAACCTATTACAGCTGTTCATACTGGGGCCTGGACATAAGTGAAATTATCATGACTGAACCAGTCACTTTTTTTCATTGTGAGCAAAACCAGCTCAAATGTTCTCCAAAATGAAGAGGGCATAAGACTATAATTATAACAGTTATTATACTCAATAGAGGTGTAGAAATTTGACCAGTGAGATAACGTAATTGTGAGTATGACCCTTTATTTGGTGCTTTAAAAAGAGATGCTGATACACTGAAAGTAGAAACTTAAATGCCACAGGAAGAATCAGAAGTGTTGCTATATCAGACAATTTTTAGTAGCTTAGGAAATACTGGTTTTTTACAGGTTACACTGTGTCTTTTTGAGCTGTATGTTGCACTGCAATATAAAAGTAGGTGCTGGGGAAGAAAACAGGTTGTACAGTATAAGACCATCAGGAGAGTGAGTCATGAGATATGCCTATAGCTGTATTCAAGTGAGCAAAAGTCTATTGAGGCCCCTTTCTTGACAGATGAAAGAGCTAGAATTTCTGTGAAGAATTTAGAAAGCCTTATAAGTGATGCATAAAACTTGCAGCTGACTAGGAAGGAAACAAAAAGTGCAGAGAATGAGGAAATATTTAAATAGTCATAGCCTGGTATGTTAATTATTGGGCAAATCTACATCTTTGTATTCATTCACAAATACTGAATTTATTTTTTTATGACAGGCTTTTTCCCCATGCTGGTGTTTCAAGATATTTTGAAGGGGTTTTCATTGTGGTTCTATGGCTGGTTCAAAATGCCTGGTGAATTGGTCAACTAAGTTATATGGGGTTAATTGTGTTGTTTCTTCTGATTTATCTGGAATTCATAACCTGACTTGGACCTCACAATTTTTTCTAGGAAAGAGAAAGAGAGGAGCACTTTGGGAAAAGATATCTAAGTGAAGATAAGCATGTGAAGGAAGTTTAGTATAATTCAGACTTTTTTACTATTGACAGCATTGTATCTTTATATACTATATTATAAATTCACATAAACTGTAATGTCTTTATTATGAGATTCCTTCCCTGCTATATGCTCAGAGAGGAAGTGATGGCAGTTATTTGATAGATTGTCTAACACGATTTATATTCAGTTTTTGTTTGCCATGATTTTATTCATGCGGTTTCCAAGGATATTGGACTAAGACTCCTACTTGCTTTGGATGGATAACTAAACAAACAAGAACACTTTATTGTTACTGCTAGTCAAAGGCCAGATTTCAGCTTGCAATTTTGAAATTAAAATCTCTCAAGATTCTTCCATTTCCTAATTCAGGAGAAAGACCGTATTTTGATATGGTAATCATGTTGACTTTTTTTTAATTATAAATGTCATAAATGTCTGCATTAGTCAAGACTTTGTGCCTTTCCTGTAAGTTTGAACTTGTCTGTCAAGGGCTATAGCAGAAATTCAATGCATTTTTGGTCTGCTTTGCTTTGTTTTAAAGACTGAGAATTTTCAAAGACACAAGTGAAATTTTCCAATTTACTATATCATACTTCTGGGGTTTTGATAGTAATCAGCGGAAATAACTAGTTCTCACTAATTTCAGTGTATACAAAAAGCATGCTGAATTCATCTGTGTAGGGATGAAGTTCAGCTTTTAAATTATTTTTCCAGTTATGTACTAAAGACAGGTGGGGTTTAACATTAATTTAGTTTAGATGCTAAAATATATCATTCCAGAAAAGTGATTTGTCTTCTTGTTTCTTGGGATACTAAACTTTAAACAATAGCATATAGATTTTCCAAAATCCTGCTCTGTGAAGGTATTTGACTTCACAGAACTCAAAAATCTTAAAAACAGATTTGCCAAGGTTCATAAATGAACTTTATTTTTATGAAAGACAAAAATTCTACAGGAGAGCATCGTATGCAAGTCAGCTATAAATTATGAGACTGGGAGTGTGAGGCGGAAGGTTGGATGAATGCCTGAGACTTGTTTACCTCTTCCTCTGTAATAATTGTACAAGATTTATAAAATCTTTTCTATCAAGTCAGAGGCAGTTTTATTTACTGAATTATAGATTGTACTATTTTTGCAATCTCCGTTTTATCCCAGGCTTGTGCTTGTGCACAGGAATTTATGTTCTTGTAGAACACAGTGTAGTGAAGAAATTTTGCCTTCTGATAGTCATAAAATATTTTGGACAGAAGTTGGTTTGTGGATAGTGATAATGGGATGAAAGTTCCCGTTTTTAGTCAAGTGTCATTATTACAGTAGGTTATATTAGATTTTTTTAAATAAAGATAATTTGAAAAGAAGCGCTTCATATTATCTATAGACTTTCAGATTTAATACAGGAAAAAGTGGAACTAGTTACTGACCTGCTGACATTTAACATGTATCATCCTTTGTCTTGAGTTTTGTTTATTGTACTGTTTTCCTCTTATTTGCACACTTAAGTTTTCTGAGCTCTCTGAATTCGGAAAAGGAAAAGACCTCTTTCTCAAATTTTTCACAGCTTGCAACTTGAGAAACTCTGATACAGGCTGCAGGATTTTCAGTCATTTTCCCATTGTCAGCAGACATACAGTGACCTCTGCTATACTCTGCTTTTGTCATGCAACTTTAATCTCTTCATGTGATATGTTGCTCAGTGTTGGGGGCTCCTGTAGGTTCCATTTTTGGCAGAGCAAGATCATACTTGTGGAGATTCAACTGAGACGAGCCAGGAGAGACTGCAGCAATGTAAGGAGCGTGGTACCTTCTGGGGCCACTTCTAATGTTGGGCCCTGCTGGATGATGTTTTCACTGGTTTAGCATTGCCTAAATGTGCCAAGTTCAGGTATTCAAGGAGATCACAGTCAGGTCACATGGCAGAGAAGAAAGCGTGATGGTATGTCAGATATATGTATAAGACAAATCAGGAATTGAAAGAAAATGTGAGATGGATGCTGGTAATGTAAGTTTTGCCTTCATTGCTTGGGTCTGATTACCTCTGTCACAGTAAGAAAATACATAGTCACTTTACATAGTGCCCAAAATTAGTAAAAAATTGGGGTTTCTAATCTCAGAAAAGTGGTCAGCTTGATATACGCTTTAGCTAGCATAAATCTGGAACTTTTTAGTCTTTTTCTCCACATAGCATGACTTTAGCCACTCAACTTCTACCTTAAACAGCAATTTTGTTATACTGGAGAAAATGGTGACCTTGTTTCATTACCTGTGTACTGTCCAACACAGCTGTCATGGTTTAGCTCTGCTCTGGATTTACTAACACGTTAGAGAGCCTCAGGACTCCTTTCAAACCAGTTGCCTATAGCAGTGTTTAGGTTTTGTGTATTTTTGCTACGCAATTTATTATGTATTTTACCTGGCTCCGTCTTCATGATCAGTAACAGCATTTCTTTTTCTCCCTACAGTTAACAGTATTGATTTGTTGTGGAGTACAGATCCTTTAACAAATGTCCAGTATCAGATAAACTCTGAGGCAGCTCTGAAATGGCACCAGGCAAGAAAAAGCTGTCAACAACAGAAGGCAGAGTTATTAAGCATCACAGAGTTGCATGAACAAACATACCTGACAGGTAGGGTAATATTATCCATCAGGCTTTTTTAAAAGGGCATTATTGTAACAGTGACACTTCTATAGCATGTTACATCTTGAAAATTGCTACTTGTTCAATTCTAGTAATTAGTAAATTTAAATTGTTGTCTTGAATGATTCAGCTGGGAAAATCAGACAGATAATGATTATTTTATCTTGATTAAATATTGCCAGAAGCTTAGAGTAATATAAAAAATACAGCAATTAAGTAATGCAAACAAGGAAGAATGAATGTTGGAATGCAGAAAAATGCAAAATAGTTTGTAAACCAAAAATGTAGATACCAAGATTGCATCCTTCTTGTGCTCTACTTGTGTGCCCTTGTCAGCATTTTTGGCCTATCTCATTGAAGCTGTCATATCATCAGTATGTGCTAAAATATGAAAAGAAAGAAAAAGAAGTAATAAACAAAAGGACTCACAAATAGCTTGTTTTATTTTTGATCTCCTTCAGTGTTTTTTGAAGTAATTTCCAAACTTCTCTGAGAAAATTATCTTCTGAATTTGTACTTGAATATATTTACATTCTATGGTGAGACAGTCTCCTCTTTATTACCTTCTTAGCCTGTGTACACACATGAAATAGCCCACTAATTCATCTATTAAATAGATTAGAAAATATTTTGAGTATGTTACATCAGTTGGAAGATAAGCAATTCTATGCCATAAGCTATATGTCGTACTACGTAAGTTCACAGAATCAGAGAATTAGAGAATGGTTTGAGTTGGAAAGGATACTTAAAGATCATCTAGTCCACCCTCCCTGCCATGGGCAGGGACATATTGCACTAGATCAAGTTGCTCAAAGCCCCATCCAACCTAACCTTGAACACTTCCAGGGATGGAGCATCCACAACCTCTCTGGGCAACCTGTTCCAGTGTCTCACCACCCCCATCGTAAAAAATTTCTTCATTATCTCCAACCTAAATCTACGCTCTTTCATTTTAAAGCTGTTGCACCTTGTCCTGTCACTACAGGCCCTTGTAAAAAATCTCTCTCCATCTTTCTTATAAGTGCCCTTTAAATATTGAAAGGCTGTGATAAGGTCTCCCCAGAGCCTTCTCTTCTCCAGGCTGAACAACCCCAGCTCTCTCAGCCATTCTTCATAGGAGGGGTGTTGCAGCCCTCTGATGAATTTCCATGCCCTCCTCTGGACCGGCTCTAACAGGTCCATGTCTGTTTTATACTGGGGACCTGAGAACTGGATGCAGTACTCCAGGGGGGCGTCTCACCAGAGCAGAGTAGATGGGCAGAATCACCTCCCTTGACCTGCTGGTCACACTTCTTTTGATGCAGCCCAGGATACAGTTGGCTTTCTGGGCTGCAAGCACACATTGCCAGGTCATGTCCAGCTTTTCATCCACCAGTACCCCCAAGTCCTTCTCCACAAGGCTGCTCTCAATCCATTCACCTCCCAGTCTGTATTGATATTGGGGATTGCCCCGACCTAGGTGCAGGGCCTTGCACTTGGTCTTGCTGAACTTTGTGAGGTTCACATGGGCCTACTCCTCGAGCCTGTCAAGGGCAGGGCCATCCTTTCCCTCAAGCGAATCAACCACAGCACTCAGCTTGGTGTCATCTGCAAACTTGCTGAGGGTGCACTCATTCCCACTGTCTATGTCATTGATGAAGACATTTAACAGTATTGGTCCCAATGCAGACCTTAGAGGAATACCACTTCTTATTGGTTTCCACTTGGATATTGAGCTGTTGACTGTAACTCTTTGGATGCAGACATTCAGCCAATTCCATATCCATCTAATAGTCCATCCATCAAATCCATATTTCTCCAATTTAGAGGAATGATAAATGTATTTTTAATGCTATGAACAGTCTGTTCTGTCTAAACTTTTGTTTTCAATTTAAGGATTTGGTCAAGACATAGGTCTTTTTTTTTTTACTGAGTGTGATGAAATTATTGTTGAAATTAGTGCTCAAGGGACTAATCTGGCGCTAACATATAGAAGAAGTGAGTTATTAGTAGGTGTGTTTTAATTGCAAACTAGTAGATATGGCTGCCAAATGTATGTGAAAATCAGTTTTTCATTCTGCAGCTACCCTGGCACTAGCAGGATTTCCTGTCATGCTCAGTTCTTGATTGTTTTAACCACAACTTGTTTGTATAGAAGTAGTACTGGAACACATTAATGTGTTGGTGCCAAATCAGGCTCTGGTATGACATTCCAGTCCTTTCCAGTGCTTAACTACCCCACCTTTTAACCTTGCCATGTTTCAAGTGCTGCTCATAATCATGGTGCCAAAGACAACTAAAATACGTAGAGCAAAATTACTTACTGGCATGATGCCATTGGTAGAAGCAGAAATGAATAAAATATATAGCGCAATGATTTTCTGTGAGCTATGCAGAAATACATTTAATTAAAAAAAATCAGCAGCCATCTAGCTGGGCTTCCAAGTCTTGTATGAAATGCAGAGATAGACAATTGATTAATAATGACTATAAATAATGCTAGAGAATTCAGCAGGGCCATACATAAGCATGGTATTTCTAGGTGCTTTTCAGAACTAGAGCAATAAGTTGGAACTGGTTTTGGAAGCCTGACTTATCATTGGCTAAAAGAAGTGAAATCAGATGAGTCTGAAAAATGTACAAGATGTGCTGTTAAAAAGACGATGTTTGGAATGATGGCATTTTAGTGTACTTTGATAAAATGTGAACAGATTTTTTGCTTTACAATATTTTGTAAATTTGAAACTCACGCTTGTTAATTTTATTGGAAACTATTCACGTTTCATTTTAGAATACTGATTTTTGGTTTTGTGAACTTTTGTGCAACCTTATCAATTTAATATTTTATAATTCTGGAAAAAAATTATTTGTTTAATATTTATGATCATTGGTTTACCAAGAGCATGCAGAAGTGTTTGTTTTCTATTGTCATAAAATTCTCCACACCTAAAAATGTGAAAACTCTAAAACTGAAGTGACCCATGTAAGATGACATGTTTTGCAGGTTTAGCATAGCCACCTTGACTAAAAGGTTAAAAGTTGTTAAAATTTGTACTGGGAAAAAGGAGAAGCAGATGGTTTAGCTAGAATTCAGCTGTCATGTTTTGAGAAAGTGTTTGCTCTTGCTGTGCACTTTCAGTATCTCTTTGTCTCTGTTACCTAGGTTTGACTGGCAGACTGAGTTCTGCTCTCTGGTTTGGTCTTAACAGTTTGAATTTCAACAGTGGATGGCAATGGGTTGGTGGTGCTCCTTTTCGATACTTAAACTGGGTTCCAGGTAAGGTTAAATATGTTGCTGCTCAGTTTAAAGGGCAAAAATTTTGTCATTGTGTAACATATTTCTTTTCTAGTACTCTGTTCTCCTGCAATTATTGAGCTTGTTTTGATGTTGAAAGATTCTGACTGTAGCTATAAACCCTGTGAGTAGTGGCCCTTATGCTAGGGATACACACTGGCGTTAATTTATTATTCACAATGGAAACAGTAGCCTCAAAATCCAGAGGAAAGTTTTAAAATTAATCTATTTATAGTTCATATGTATATCTTCTTAATTTACTTTATTTCTATATGAATACAGAATAAATCTGATGCTACGTCTTCATTTGTGAGATTAGACTGCTCAGTGTATGGTCTGGGTTTTGTTTTGTTTTGTTTTGTTTTGTTTTTATAAATTACTTTCCTTTCCAATTTGTTTTGGTTATTTACTTAAAGATTAGATTTTCATTTTCATTTGAGATGAACCTACCCATGGAAGTAACATGTATCAGACTGAACATGTTAGGCTAGTCTACTTTGAAGCAAACTCAGCTACTTCACACCTGTAGTTGCAATGTTGAACTCTGGTGCCATTATTAAAAAGCTAGTCTCTATGCCATCTGTACACATGGTGAAGAAGAGGTGCTTTTCTGGTTTACCACTTCGAGTGCCTATATTAAGGTGTCTTTTTGCAGGACCCTTGTACCCTTGCACTGGCTATTCAGGAAGCCTTTGGAGACTAAAGTAGATGTCTGAAGTTATGCAGTGTAAATACTCTTCTTTATCTTCATTGAGCATGTCACATGTATTTCATCTGCAGTAACTATAAATGCATGCTTCATCGTATCACCTAGTGGCTTCCTTGTGTAGATAAGGCCAAAAGTACATTTTAGGTGGACAAAATTCTTGAGTAGGTAAGCTTTGAAGAGTGAATTGAACTACTTTATTGAATAAATAGCTCTCCAATGGAGTGAGCGCACAAGGCAAACAGATGGGCTGAACTGTAAGTTGCTGTGAAGGTATTTATAGGTTTGTCATCCAAGTGTACTGATGAGGATCTGCACGTAATGAAGAGTGGGGGAAAACTGATTGTGACGTGGAGCCAAAGCAGCAAGGGGAGCTGTTCATGACTGTTAAAACTACAGACAACTCTCAGTTGTCCTGTAAAGAATTGGGGGTTTGGTGTAACCAAAAAGGGGTCCATTTATCTTTAACTCCTTATTTTCCTTAATTTCATTCAAAGATAATACTCTTAAATCCATATAATATATTTTATATTTGTGCTAGCTCCTTCATGACTTTGCTTTAGTCAGCCTACCTCTACCTCATCCCCATTACCCTGGATGTTCAAGAGCTGTCTGTTCTTCCACTAGTATATTTTAAAAGAATTTGTGGAAGCTTCATATTCTTCCATCTCACTAGCCCTAAATAAACAACAAAAAAACATGGGAACTAAGTTATCAACATTTAAACCAGAATTATGCTGGTTAGGCATTTGGGAGAGCTAACTCCCAAATGCCTAACAGCTGAACATTTTTGTGCATTAAAACAATTTAAATTTGTATTTTTGAAGTAAGCATATCTTTTTCTCCTATGGGAAGAAGATATAACATGACCTCAAATATAAGACTAACTGTAATCTAAGGTAATGAAATTGTAATGTTATAAGAAAATTTTCAGTGAACAATCTTGCATACTAAAAAATATTGTTTTGCTGTGTTTATTGCTGAGCAGTATTGACACTTGCTTGTTATGTAGTATAGTGGCATGTGTTCAGAAATGAAAGAAAATTGATGTGAAGTTTAATCACATTAGACCAGATCTTGAAAAGTTCATCTGGTTTATTGCAGAAATTTGTTCTCTTCTACAGGTTCTACTTTTCTTCTAGAAGTTTCTGTCAGTGCTAATGCTAATCTTCAGCTGAAAACATCCAAATATCCTGCAATTGTTGTATTGTTTAGAGAAGTGGACAAGAAGTTCACCTTAGCAAAATAATTACTTATTATTTTTCTGCCTTTACTGTTATACTTAGTACAGAATTTGACTAGCTTACTGAACAGTTTTTTCACCTAAAGATTTTGCTCTGGAGTTTAGACATTCTTCATTTAGAAAGGGAAAGAACTCAAACAAAATAAATAGGTGCACTGTAATACTTTCCATCAAGACTTTGAACCTGTGAAGAGGCTGTTAAATTGTGAACTAGATAAATATCTCAACTCGTAGTTGCTGTGAAAAAATATCTCTTAAGGGAATGAACTGCCCTGTTCAGTCCAAACGACTGTGGAGTATCACAATTGTCTATATGTTAATGTATTTTATAATTAAAGCATGGAGCAGATTAGAATGTGAGAGTAATTGGGAGGGTAATCGTGATGTGCTTATACTTTGTTGTTGTTGAGGTTTTGTTTTGGTTTTTTTTTTAAAGGACACCCTTCTCCAGAACCTGGAAAAATCTGTGCAGCATTAAATCCTGGCAAAGGTGCTAAGTGGGAGAATCGGGAATGTGATCAGAAACTTGGCTATATTTGTAAACGAGGAAATGCTACTTTAGAATCTTTCATTATTCCTACAGGTAGGTTTGGTAATAAACCCTCAACAAATTAGTAATGACCAGTGTTTTTTATCTGTAATTCTAATAGGTATTTGTTATTGCACATGGTAAAACCACGCAAAGGTCTCTGCAGACTGTGGCTTGACCAAGATTCCCTGTAAAAGTGAACAGTGTGTACTTCCTTTTTGTTCTGGCCTCCCTAATTCCTCTGTAGTAATCTTTCTTTGGTAGGATTGAGTTCTAAATTGCAGAAATGGTGGAGTTCTCTTTTCCAAAACCAAGCACAACTATCAGATTTTTTTTGTAAAATAAAAAGAGAAATAATTTAATGTTTTTTAAAAAAAGATGTAATTATCTAAAGCCCCATGTACTCACTGAAACTAATCTATTTCTTCTTGCTGTCATTTTTACTACTTATGAAAGTAAGAAAGAAAGTTTGCCAGTGCAGGTTGGTAGTGGACTAGAGGAATTTTTTTAAATTCTTTTGAGAGGGTTAAATAATTTTTATATATATATATGTTTATGAATAAATATATAGAGAGATATATTAAAAATATTTAACTTTTTAATGGAATTATTTAAATTATATATATACAGACACTTTTTCAGAAGAAATGTAATCCTGGCACTTGCCTAATATATATAGAAAAGACAAAACAGGGATAAGTTTTCATAGCTTTATTTAGACTTGTTTCCTTGTTATTATCTCTCTGTGTACTATAAAAACCTTGTAACTTATTCCTTTGTTTCATCACTCCTTCTTTCTGTTCTTTCCAAGTTTCTTTCTCTTTCCAGGACATACAGATATCTCCTAAATCCACTGACATGATTTTGTATAGGTTTTAGAAGCAGAAAGCTAAACCATTAATGGATTTCCACTCCATTTATTAATATGCATTATTAGCAAACCAGATATTTTGGAAACTCAGTGTTTGACATTTGGCTTAAAAAACATGTTTTTGAATGTTTTTCCTGCCTTTGCCAATATATAACCAGTCCAGTCAAAAACACTTAGGACAGAGACTTCTGCCTAATTGTTTGGCTTTATTGCTAAGAGAAAAAACCCACAAGAACGAGCTAGTGTCTGGTTAATTAAATATTGAAATCAATATTTAATACTTAAATTAATTAAATTAATACTTCAGTATTGAAATCAAGCATATTTGTTGCCTTAGCTGAGAAGGACTTCAGTACATATTTTAATTATTTCCTAAATTAAGATGTAAGGATTTGTATACTGCTGATAACCACATAGCTAATTTATATAGGTTGTCTTAGATTGTTCAATTGGCTACTGCTCAGCTTTTCAGGTTTCATACATCAGTTCTTAAACACTGATGCCTATAAATATACTATCAATTCAATACTGGCTGCTGTCTTATTCAGATTTAAATTCAGTTTTGGGGGGTCTAATGGTCATTTCTTTCTTATGCATTAGGCTTTTGATTCTCCCCCCTCCAGCCTCCCATTTTCCTAGTAATTTGGAGGAAGAACAGATATGAGACAAAAGTTTTCAATTGTACAGAAATTGCTGAGTAAACATGGTGACAGATTAACCAGAAATTGGCAGTGATTCTCTTCATAAAATATTTTCCAAAATGTCCCATGGGGGGAAGTCATAAAAGGAATAAGCATGCAATCATGCAAGGTGTTAAGTGCCCTCAGCTTCTAATGATGTAAAGGAAAACTCATGGCAGATGATGTTTTCCTGACTAGGGCTCCTGAGTCAAGAAATAAATTAATCACAAATTCATACATACACTTAGTTGTGCATTTAACATTAAACACAGTGGCAATCCTTTGAAATTTTAACCCTAGAAGTTACAATTAAGTCTAACAAGGCAGTATGCAAGCACTGTGTGACAGAACACTTTACAACAGAATATAATCATGCTTGTGTCCAAAACAAAGTAGAGAAAAATCGTTACACAATATTTATTTTTGTTGCAGATGAAGATTTTCACAAAGCCAACAGCTGTACATTTTTTTGTAGCAGAAGTGTTTTTTCCAGCAGGGGGCCACATCATTGTATACATCTGAGTAATGCAGACTCTTAGGGCTTCAAAGCATTTGCCCTGTAATACAGCGAAGTGGATTAATAGGAACCTGTTACTTTCACCTGCAAAACTTGCTTATTTTTTAACTTAATTGTCAAAGGAAAGGCTGTCTGTCTGTCTACCTCCACCAAGTGACTTCCAAAATAGATTTCATTCCAATCCAACAGGGTGTAGTGACCTTAAAGTACTGCTTCTAAATGTTTCATGAAACATTCAATTAGAGGAAATAAATGCTCTTAGCATCACTGTTGTGACCGCTGTGTGAGGTCTCTCTTATCACACCACAGAAGATGGGTGTGAGAGGTAGAAATTTGAATCCCTGAATTACAAGACAAATTTCAGCTAGTGCTTTCACCCTTTTAGACGCCCAAGGCAATCATTGTGAGATCTTCAGACTTCAGGAAGCCAAGCTTACAGTTTACAAAAGTATTTGCTCTCTATTTGCAAAATAATCATTCAATGCTTACATACTTCATTTCTGTATCTTGATCTATTCCACAGTAAATTAATCAGCTAGACATTTGGGATAACAGTTTTTACACATCAATGTGATTTCCTTTGTTACATCTTACTTGTAATTTGCATTGCTTCTTTTGCTTAAGACAAATGAAGTTCAGGGAGTAGTACTTGTTTCCATTAGGATGAAAAAATAGATTGTATGGCTTTGTGTTCTCATGTATTGTCCTTAAAGAAAGAATAGGGAAGCACAGACTTCATTTTTGCTGAGTCCTGGAAATGAAGAACTGAAGACTTTCTCTTACTGAGAAATCCCCAGCTATGTCATTCAAAAAGACTTGCACCAAAGAAACTAGACTGTCAGCTGCTTTTCTTGTTTTGCGGCCTGCAACAAATTCCCTGCTGTTACTGGATTTACAAACAAAAGATTCTCCCACCTTGCCATAGCTGGTTTAGTGTTTACAGTAATAGTCTCAGTCTCCTTTGGTTGGAAAAAGAGACTCATGGACTCACTGGGGAATAAATATCTTTGTGGCTGTCTTTGTAGCTATGTCTGAACTGCTGATGTCTGTTCTATTCAGTGTTTACAGTTAGGTGAAGGGTGCACTAAGTGTGTTGGAGGTGGATATATGCCTAGATTTTTTTTCAAAGCTGTTCTCTGACTGTTATAGCAAAGTGTCATGACCCAGACTGGACAGACCAGGGAGTCGTGTTTAATTCAAAATTCCCTCGGGCTAAATTAAGGTGAAATGACACCAAACAATCAGTTAAAGATTTTATTCAAGACAGAAGCAAACTGAACTGGGGAGACGTGGTAGTAGGTGGCAGTGTTTCTCACACCAGGAATTGGCATAAGACTACTTCCGTAAACCATGTAACCCAGGGTAACCATATACATCAATTCACGGAACAAGGAGATCCCGCCCGTCAAGTCATGAGGCTCAGAGCAGACCCCCTTTCTTTCTAGAGTCCTCATCAGAGAAGGGCCCAGGTGTGGCTGGATCCACTCTTAGTCTCAGACTTGGTCAACAGTTTATGTCTTGAAACGGATGAGGTGTAGGGATTGTGGAAAAGGAAAAAGAAAGAGAGAAGAAGACAGAGAGAGAAAAAGGAAGAGAGAAAGATTTCACCGGTCCTGGGTCCAGCGTTGGTTCAGTCAGAGGAAGGGTCCAGTTCTGGTGGGCTTGCACACCTGGGGCTTCAGTTTGTGTCCTTTTTGATAAAAGGACATCCGTGCCCCTCCTTTGGGCGGGCACTCGAACTTATTAGGCTAATAAGCAGTTTGTGAGCCTTTAGGCTTTGGGGTAGTTTGGGGAGTAACATCTTCCTTGCAGACGTGGCCATTGTTTGATCTTTGTATCAGAACAGCTTATCAGAACAGGGAGCTGCACACCCTCCAGCACGCCCTCTGAATTGTTTGCTGAACAGCAGTGTGGTTGTTGGGAGTACTCCGGTGTTCTGTTGAACTTTTAAAAGCAAGTTTTAAGCATAAATCATTTACTTTGACAGTATAATTTTCTCAATGAAGCTTTTAAAAAGGATTCCTAAAAGCAGTATTCTTATTCAGGTTCTCCTGTGATCCTGTAGAACCAGTTGTTTCGCCTTTGCTAGTGTAGCAAATGAGGCTAATCCGTAAAATGCCTAAGGTTTGTGGAAAAAAATTACCCTCATAAATATGTTTTGTAAGCCCAGGTTCTTAACATATAGCTATACAGCGTGGAGGAGAAAGAGTAATGCTGACATGAGTGCAGAAAAATGATAAAGCACAGCTCTGCAAACCTTACCTTTTAGTATGTATGTATGCATGCATATAAAAGTAAAAACTGTGTTTTATGGTAATTTTTAATTCTGTCTTTTCACAAGATTCAAGCACTTGTTTGCAACTGTAGTAGTGTTTAAAAATCTGAAAGTTTCAACTTTTAATCATGCATGCAGATTATTATCCCTGTACATATTTTTCAGCTGTGCTGTTCTTCATGAAGAAAATATATAATTAATTTGTGTGTTAAATCTTTCATTATGAGCTTTTCAGTCTTTAGTTAAGAATAGAATTCTGAAACCCTTCATGGTATTTTTTCTTTTCAGAGACTAATGTGCCTATTAGATGTCCTGATCAATGGATGTCATATGCTGGTCACTGCTACATAATTCACAGGGACCCCAAAATATGGAAAGATGCTCTAACATCTTGCAGGAAAGAGGATGGGGATCTGGCGAGCATCCATAATGTTGAAGAGTACAGCTTTGTTATTTCTCAACTTGGGTACCGTGAGTATTTTTTTACAATGACTTATATATATGTATACTAAGAAAATAAAGAGTTTTGAATATGTCTTACCTATTAGAAAAAGGAGGAGACTGTTTAAATAAAATAATTTTCCTGATCACAGGGTGCAGAAGGAGATAAATTTTAAATTTAAAAAATCTTTGGAAGAAAAGAAGCACAATAAGAGCAAAACCCCAAACTCTACTGTCACAGAAAAGCTGTGGTCAATGTTGTGAATTGCATCAACCCCAAACTCTATTTCTTAGGGTCTGCTTCTACCTCCTTTTATACAGATGAAAACAATTTTCAACCTTTTCAGAAGCTGGAAGGATTTTTTCTATTGGTCTGCAAAGATAGATGAGGGGAAGCAAAGTCTGTTGGTCAAAGACAGTTTGGGAAGATCTGGGTCCTACTACCAGCACTGTCATGTCCTTATTTTTCAAGTCATGCTGCTTGGGTTTCTTTTGAAAAAGGAAGCTGTTTGTCCCAGTATGTGGATTCAGATGTGCCCCAAATTAAACATGGTGCTTAGGTGCTTGGTTTCTGAGCACACATTCAAGTTGTTGCAAGGCAAGTTAAGCTACAGATGCTGTGTGTTCATTAGGGGAGGTGCAACCATGCTGACGCTGAGTCAATTTTGTGGTTGCTATTGCTTTACATGAACTTGATTTTGCATGTAGGATCAGTTACTGCTTTTTGTCGGGAGGAGCATGTTCACACCTATGTATGCTTCTTTGCAGTAACTGATCCTGCGTGTGCTTTTAGTGCCAGGTAAGTGTGAGTTAGTTTATCCTTCACTGAAAGTGCAGTAAGCTGCTTTGAGCTGCACTGTAACAGCAATCTTGGTGTGACAATCATAAAATAGCTTTAGTTTTGTATCCTAGCCAACTCCATGGCAACTTGTGCTTGTCCTCACATTCCTAAAAGAGTGATTTGTTGTTCTTTCATGGACAATATGAAACTTTTACTCTTTTTCAAAGGACATTATTAGGAAACGTGGGACCTCTTGACGAGACGTTAGGACATTTGAAAGAAATTAGGCTTTAAAAGAATTTTTCTGTATTTTCTCTTTACTCCTTCAAAGTAGACTATTTCATAGTTTAATGCATTCTCCAGAGACCTTTCCTGAACTGACTATGCTGCACTGTTTTTGTAGAAGTGAATGTTTCTGAAAGGCAAATAGTCCTGAAGGAAACCAGGCTTCTCACATATGGCACACTCACTGCAACAGGCTATTTTGAAAGCATTCTTTTCAGAGGAGTAAAACTGGAACAAGTAAAGAAGTCTTTTAAGGGAGTTTATGACAGTATCAGATCACCCTTGTTCACCACTAAGATGAGAACACCATGTATTGCAGTGCCTAGAAAGTCTTGTCTGCATCAGAACTCTGCTGCAATAAGTGCTGTACAGAAAGAACAAATATCTATCTTTGTGCCAAACAATTCACAGTCCCATGATAAAACAAAGGAAGAAGGGGTACAATAAAATGAATTTTGTCATAGTAGCTGAGCTTTTGTTGGCATCACCCACAAAGAGAACTTTAGAGAGCAACATGAAGAAGAATAAAGAAGTGCATTCTGGATATTTACACAGAAGTCTAGCATGTGATATAGCACAAAAGTGGCCCAGTGCATGTCTGAGAGAGTGGGAAACAGCTTATTTACAAGTGGCTGGGGAAAAAACCCCTTGGTATTTAGTCACCCAGCTTTAGAGATGAGTGCAATACTCTATGAGAGCATTTCTTCTTCAGAGGAGAAAATGTTATGTAGGAGGAAGGTCCACAGAACCAGAAATGGCTCTTGGCCATTTCTGATTTGCATGGCTTATTTAGATGACTTTGATGTAATCATTTTGTTAAAGAATGCTGTTCATATTACCATGGTGTGAGCCCACCACAGTAGGAGGTCTGGCCATGGATAAGGCCTTTGCTATGCTGGGTGCTCAATAAACTCAGTCAGAAAAATTTTAACAAATAACTAAACAGAAAAGAAATTAGAGAGCATGGATGGAGGTAGCTAAGGAGGGAATGAGAGCATGATGGGCAGTGGAATTGGAACAGGTTACAATTTTGGTTGCAGAGGAGAGTTTAAAGGAGGGTACTGAGATGTGATGTTGATGAAAATGGAGCCTGACATCCTCTGAATCTGAGCCCTTCTTATTGGGGGAGGGATGGTAAGGACAGTATAGATGACCTATGAGGGCTGATCATACTTAGGTATAATAAAGATGGGAGAGACAAGGGAGGGAAAGAGAAAGGAGAGAGAGTTGACTCCACTAAACTGACAGGCTGGGAGGGTGACTTTTGTAGCAGCCTGGTTGGTCAAAATGGGAAGCCTCCATGTTCCTGTAACTAGCAGATGGGAGAAATGTCACAAGAGTTTTAAGCTGTGGGAGTATCTAGGAAAACCTCCATCTGAAATGTGTTAATCAGAAAGGATTGCCTTGATGGCAATGACTTTTAACTCTTTTAACTTAACACTAGACACTTCTGTGTCTAGTGACAGCAGCAACAGAGAAGAAACAATTATAGTTCCATTGAGAGACCCACTCCTGCAGCTGATGTCTTTTCCCGGTGGGCTCACAATCCCATTTTTAATTTCCTGGGTGACTTCATTATCAGGTTGTCTGTGGTCAGTCTGGATATAGGATGTTAAAGGAAGACTTATGAAAGAAGGCAAAAACTATGACAACAAACTGAACAGGAGAAACCTCTGAGTGCTGTAGATGGGTTGTAGAAATGCAAGGTCATAAGTGGTGGAAAAATGTTAAAAAGTAAAGTAGTCTCCCTATCATTCAAGAAAAATACTCATGAGTAAGTTCTAGCAACCAAGTAGTTCATACTCTGCTTGGAAAGACTGCTATCTAAGGAAAGGACTGTGCATGTAGTTGGTCAGTGTGATCTGAGCCATGTGCTGTAAAAAAAAGGAAAACCTGCTGCCTTTAGCATAGGCTGGATGACAGACTATAAATAAATAAATAAATAATAATTCAAGAAGTGCCAATTGCACTGAACAAAGTCATAAAATCAGTTCTAGAGAGGAATACTCTTTTGATGATGATGGAGTTCAGACTGATTATAAATGCCCAAATTTTAATCCTCCTTATTCAAATAGTCTATTCAGAACAAAACTAGGTATGAACATTATAGTAGCAATAGAGTGGAGAATTTTAAGCACAGGCAAATAAACCTCTAAGAAACAGCTGCCATAAAGTAACATCCTTGATCAGTCCTGCACTTTCATTCCAGCCAAAAACCAGCAGTTAACTCCGTTAACTGTAAACTGAAAATTCCAACAACTACATGAATTTCATTTTGCTCTGAAACGAAATAAAATATAGGAACACCTGTAATAGGAAAACTTGCAGGTACTCTAGTTGTCAGCTGTAAAAATCAACACTGGGTGTCTGAGCATTAGAAAAGAAGGCAATTCTTTCTTCGCTATACTAAAGGTAGGAGGCAAAGGGGAGGTAGCATTTTATTTAAGTGTTTATTCATCTCGTTACAAGAGTTGTGAACTGGAAAAAAGGAATGAACCTAGCTGTGTTGTAACATAATTCAACAAAGAGAGTATTTTTGCTGTTTTATACAAAGTTAAACACTCATATTGCCACTATAATGAGTGGCCTTTCCTCATAACTGGAGTGGGTATATGAGGAACAGTCTGCTGTCTTTATGAAACAGGGAGCCTTAATTTCCTTTGACTGCCTATTAAACTTCCTGAGAATAAATTATTTTCCGTTCCGTGAAGATAAGGCTTCACATCATATAAAAGGACTGTTATCAACCTTGTTAATCATATGTTTTAGAGCCAGCTGATGAGCTGTGGATTGGGTTGAATGACCTCAAAGTTCAGATGTATTTTGAATGGAGCGATGGGACACCCGTCACCTATGCCAAGTGGCTTCGTGGAGAACCCACTCATGCAAACAACAGGCAAGAGGACTGTGTTGTTATGAAGGGAAAGGTAAAGTCATGTGGCTATTGACTTAATTATCTTATAATTTCATTTATCATTTGGGCTTTTTTTCTATGCCAGAGCAAAAAAGTAGGGGATATTACTGTTTGAAGCAGCCTATTTTAGAGTCTTACAGGTGTTACTTTTTTGAGGAAGGACCCCTGTTCAAGGTTGCCAGAAAGTTGTTTTTATTGTCTTGCCTGAGAAGCAGGCAACTGGTGGCTTTCCTTGGAGGGAACTGCTCCCCAAGATCCATATTTCTGGATTTCAGTTTGTGCATGTGGGCTTTTTGAAGAAGCTTTTAATTACACTGTGAACCACATGAACATGTAAATGCTTTTCTTCAGGAAGCTACAAAGACATTTTGGATATGTTTGGATTTTTTCTGCTTTGTCTGAGTATGGGATATACACCTACCTTAAAAAATTGCACTAGCAATTTTTAATGATGTTAGAAAGAAATACTATCTTTAGAAGAAAATAGAAGCTTTTTTTTTCTTTTTCTAGGCAAAGTTATAAATCTCAGATCTAGGTGGATTAGATGTTATGCTTGTATCTGCACTGCACATGAAGAGCTGTGAGAAAAGTAGTTAGCAGTGGGATTAGTGGAAGTCTTTACTGAGTGACTGTATATCTACAATTAAAAGGCTGCTTTGAAAAGGCTGGTTTTTGGAATATGGCAATGATCGATGATGTAGGTGTACTACAGGAACTGAGATAATACCTGGTATAAAAGTCAGTCTGTGTGCCATGTTGCAAAATGGTATTTTTCATCTTTCTGATAATTAAAAATATTGAACTTACCACCTCCTTCAGGGTTTACGTATTTTATCAGGAGGAAAAAAAGTATTTACCCATACCAAAGGCATTTCATTATTTTGCAAAATTAAAACTTGAGGGTTGTACTTTTGGTGACTGCACTTATAAATTGAAAAGAAGAACTAAAAATTTTTTCCCAGTTGGCCTGAACACTATGCAGAGCTTGCCTCATAGGGCAAGTCTGCACTCAAGCCCCAATAGACTGAGTTTTCTAGCTTGCTTCACTTAGGTACAATCATCATCAACAACAGTGGCATGTATGCATGCAGCTCGTTCATGTGCCTCCATCATTCTGGTGCACAAAGACTCAAATTCAGAAATTAAGATTGAGTGCAGCGGGAGAGGGCTGAGCCAGCTCTGCAGCAGGTAGAAGCTGTAGAGGACATAGGGGAGTTAGCAGGTGCAGCACTAGCAGAAAAAGGGACCATGTCATCAGTTCCAGAAAGGAATGAGGAAGAGAACTAGAACAGCATCCTTGGGAGAGCAAAACCAGAGTAGTATCCATGGAAGAGGCAAGCCTGTGCAGGGTATAGCATATTAATCTCCCCAAATTGAGCAGAGCTATGTGTGTTTGTGGAGGTGTTCTCTGGCTGGGCCAAAGTTCACGTCTATAGTTTCATTGCTGTATGAACTGAGCAGGGAGAAGAAACTTAATGTACAGTCAGATGTGTCCAGAAGGTTAGAATTTGATCTCTATTTTAGTGAAGAATTTTGCACTGGTCAGAAGCATTAGTAAGATTATAATCTATTAAGCATTCCTCTCCATTGTATTAGTGGACACGCTCTGGTGAGAAGACCATAAATGTATACTTCTTCCATGGCAACCAGGCCACGGCACACATGGTAATTGAACAGACAGATTTTTAAGGGTGTGAGGATTTTTGTGCTCCCTTGTCTGTGCAGTGGCTATGCCAGTGCTGGTTAAGGATGTAGTAGATGCTTTGTCTAACAGAAATATAGGGTCAGACAGATGAAGGAGGCTGAATGCTCAAATGTGAGGATCAGTCAACTGAGGTTGTAAATAGCAGTTGCTTCAAGGACTTGTATAATGGTCAAGGCTGGAGAACGTGCTCAGGAATGGGAGGTTTGCAAGGCAGCTAGTCTTGGTGCATGTGGGTGGTGCAAGGAACACATAGCTGAGATTTTGTCTCATCTACCATCCTGTGTCCTTTAGCCACCTTCACCTGTTGGTGTGAACTTTGGGGTTTTATGGTATTGTACATAGAAGTATTGGTGCAGGAAGTATTAGAGGAGGTTAGAGGCTGACAAGCAATTCATAATTTGGCTAGTACTTTAAAAAAAGTGCTAAGATTGCTCTTGATATTCATAGTTTCTTGATGCAATTTTTTTTTAATCTTTTTTTAGTCTTTTGGAACATACAGGGCAGCTTAAATGCATTGGTAAAGCCATGATTTTTATCAGAACAACTTCACTGCCTTCAAACCAAGAGTTTCAAGAGAAAACAACAAGGGGAAGAATTTGTTTTGTGGCTCTGTGAGGATCTGGATGGTATTTTCTGGCCAAGCCAAGTGTTATAGCATTTTGGGGAACTTGGATTCAGGTTAAAAATCTCTATTTGTGTACAGAAGCTGAGATCCATTATCTTCTAATTTTCTGCAAACCTAAGCAAATTGCTGCTTGTGATAATTTGAATTCTACCACCTGTTGCATTTCTCTAGGAAAGAGACAGCTACCTCAGTTTCTGTTGCAAGAGTAGAGGAAAGACACATCTGGTTAATTATATAAGACTTTAGGAGAAAGGTGAGGCAGGGAGAGATTGCAACTAACCCTAGTAGTATCCTCTGGTGGAGGGCAGGAACAGCATGGTCCAGAATAAATTCACGCCACTCTGCAATGCCAAGCCCTGAAAGAACCACTGTTGGTCTACCTAATGTTTCCCCCCCTCCATGTGGTCATTCATTGAAACCTACTGGATAAGGAAATGGATGGAAAAATAGGAGTCATTGCTATTTATATCCTCACCCTCACTTTGTATGGTCGTAAAGTCCTGAAGTGTCCGCCCAGACTGAACCACTGGAACACACAAACAGTTCAATTACAAAGAGGCAAGAATAGTTACAGATATATGCAGTGGCGTATGATTGCTTGTATGTGTCTAGGCAGATCTGTTGATAGAAGATGACCTAAGATTATAAAAGGGATCTAACATATGGCTGGGTATTAAAATAAAATTAATTCAATGGCCGGGGTCTCAAAGCATTAAGATTTCGATTCACTGGTCATGTCTTATGTGCCATGCTAAAAGTGGCAGCATTCAGTGCAGTCAGATGACCCATGATCATTCCTCAGAAGCAGAGTTTCTGATGGCAGGCTGGCATGCTTAATACTATGGTCAAGAACCAGCTGAAAATACCAGTGCAGGCTGCTGGGTCTTCACTTAGGGAAGGGAGGAAGCAGAAGACTCCATCCGCTGGTAGACCAAGCCTTCTCTTCCTTCACCTAACACAGTGTCTGTCAGTACAGAAGGATCTTGGAGTCCTCCAGCACTGAATATGTATTAAGTGAGACTTGTATCTAAACCCTAGAGGCCCTTTTAATTCCAACAGCAGTAGACAGTTAGCTATATCTGTGGCTGTAGCTATAAATAAAAGTAGCAGCCTGCTGTTCCATTCTGGTGCTTTAGAAAAGCTGTCATCCTTTTGCTTGTATCAGCACTCAAAAGCAATACAGAAAGCATGATGTAGTTTTTGGCTGAAGAAATAAAGGGGGTTTTGATTTGTGAAAGAGAAATCTGAAAAAACAAGTCTTCAAGTATACACAGCTTGTTACAGAGGTTGCAATCAATTCTTCCAATTGTTTATTTAGTAAAAAAGCAGAATGAGCTACTCTAGGGTGGGGGTTTTTTGTATGGTTAAGAACAGGTTAGCTGGAAGCCAGCAGGGATATTAAAATTAAATTAAAATTGTGAGAAGCCACAAGCCAAGCCTAATAGGCCAGCTTGCAGGGACAGTGCCTGTCCAGTCAGAGCCTGTCCCACTGTCCCCAGAAAGGGAGCAGGGCAGGTGGGGTAGGCAGCTGGTGGCAGAGCAGAGCCCACATTCAGGATGATGAGGCAGGTCCAAGGTCAAGCCAAGTAGCCGAGTCAGGATCAGGTCCGGAGAGAGTAACCAGGGTCAGACACAATCTAGTCATTGCTGGGCAAGTGCATAGTGAGTGACAAGGTCTGTCCAAGATCAAGCCAAGAAGACAGTCCAAAGGTCAGGGTCTGGATCAACAAGGCCCATAGCCAGGTAGAGACATTGGTGCAGCTGGAGACAAGTACTTCTGTTACAGCATGGACAGGGATTGAAGGCCCAGGTCTGAGCTTAAGTGGAGCCCCAGGGCTCATGGGCAGGCAGGTGGGTGGAGGCCCCAAGTGAAGGTGGTGGGGGCCCTTTAGGTCTATTGCTGCTCTCAGCCTGCTGATGGAAAGTTAGAAATGAATTATAAAGTAAGGCATGCAACAATGCCATCAAAAAGGACTTCTGTTTATAACATGCTTGTTCGTTGTGTTACGATTTTTGTCTATTTTTCATTGAATTTGGTGGTTGTAGATGCGGTTTTATTTTAACTCCTCCTTCATTACATTGTTTTTACTTTTCATTTTAATTTGACTCTGTACCTTTTGGGCAGTGATGCAAATTAATGTGTTACAAATTTGCTATGATGTAAAGAAGCTACCATTGGTCCAGTTTAACATTTTGAAAGGGTAGCTGTTGACATATGCTATGCTTTAGTTTTTCCACCATTTATTTGATGGGAAGACTCTTTTGCTTTCTATACCAAGTAGTAAGTTAGACTGGTAAATGTTTCTTTCAAGGCTAAATTTTAAGGGCTTGATCCTTGCCATCAGACGAGGTTTTCCCTTGGTTCAAAAGTCAGTAACTAGAGAGCCAAAGCTTCAGGGTAAGTTTTCCTGTGTTAAAGAACTGTAAAAGTTGTGAAAGTTGTCCTGATTTCTTCCAGGCTGTGACGGTCAGAGTTTTGGGTGGTTATCTGAAGTGCCTACTAGTCTAGCGAGGCTGAGAAAGAAATGGTAGGAGATTATGAGACACCCACCAAAAGACTTGTCTTGTGATCAGCATAGGACTGAGAAGACACAAGCATGAGCTGTGAACATCCTAGGGTTCTTCATTTTTGTAGGCAGTAGTATTGAGTTTTGGGAGTTTTTGCTGGAAGTGGGGTTTGTTTAGCTTCTTGAGGACTTGGCATATTGTGGCACAAGGGACTGTGTATTACCAATGTGATTATTTTACATTTCGGTGCAGGAGAGGGGGAGAAAGAAATTGCCACCAACTGCTATGATTTTACTTTTACAAAAGTGGAGTCTTTAAGGCACAAGTGAGAAAGTGTTTTGCACAGGTATTTCTCCTCATCTCCCAATACCTTAGTTCATCTGTTGAACCAGAATGTATGTAAAATATAGTGGGAACATGGTGTGAGGTTCCTTACTTTCAGTACAGCTCCCACTGAATGTCATTGTTTCTTCTGAGGATCTGTAGTATGAGGAGTAACAATGTTAATTCTAACTTTGACAAGGAACTTTTTGCATCTTCAAAGTTTTATATAAGTATTAACTAAGGAATGTAGTCTTCTGGGTTTTTTTCTGTTGCAACTGGATTTCTGTGGGGAGAGATGACACCTCCCTTTCCTCCTGCATGCTTATTAAATCAGTAGTTGTAGAGATGGTGTATTACTGTCACCCCCAAGGGTTCACTTTTCAGAAGGCTAAATAATTGAAGAAGGTCTAAGTCAATGGTGAATCAGCCCCAGTAGAAGTGAGGTTGGAATGAGGTTGGAATTAAGTACTGAACTTCGATGTAGGTTTTGCTTCTTTTAAAGCTGCAAAAAATAATTGAATACTTAAAAGCATAAAGTGCCTTTTTTGAAGACTAAATCCCACTTGACTGTCATGTTCTGTTCTTATGTTCAGGATGGATTTTGGGCAGACCATTCTTGTGAAAAGAAAATTGGCTACATCTGTAAAAGGAAACCCATGTCAGAAGCTCCTACAGAAGAGGAAACTATTGACATGGGCTGCCAGAGAGTAAGTGAAGCAAAAGCTCTCTGATCTGAATAGGCTTCTAGGAATGATTAGGAGGAGAAAATGCCACCTAGGTGACAGATAAAACAGGAAAAATGGGTTCTGTGTTGTCATCATCAGAACAGTTGGCCTTCTCATTTCTATGGCAGACAGGATAGGTGGTACATATGAATAAATCTAGGTTCTGACTGTCATTTGGCTCTTGATGCTCCCTTTTTTTTTCCAGAACTTAAACCAAAACTCAAACCTGTAGTCCCCGCAGCAGGCCATTTTTCCTTGATTGGCATTCAAGCTGTCCTAAGGAATTTGCCTGTGCCAGCAGTTGCTCTTCAGCTCTGCCTACAATTTTCTTCAAAATTATTCACAGCAGGAAGGGTGTGCTTCTCTACATACTATTCTCAAGGCTTTGCTGTGGTCTCTGGCAGTGCTCTCTACTTTGAAGAATTTGTAGGAGTGCCTGAACAAAATGAATCCATTGTGCTCCTTCTGAACTGCCAGCAGATCTATTGTTTATTTGGTAATGCTCGCCTTCTGGTAACATAACACTCAGTAATTCCGAAAAGCCTACTGTAATTTGTTATGTCATAGGGAATCTTACTGGGGTTTTGTCTTCCATGAAGAAATTGCCTTTTCCCCCCCCAAGTCTGCTTTACACAGCTGCAGAGGAAGTCTTTGATGTTTATTCCCAGTATTTGTAAAAGAGTACCTGGGAACATCACAAGTATTCAACTGTTGCAGAAGATAAAGGGATCCTAATGCTTATGGATGCTATCCTTGCCTAGAGAAATAAGTGCATGGTTGCAGAAAAAAAGTCTCTCATAGGTGAGAAATTGAAAACCATCAGAAGAAAATTTGTTTGAATTGGGGCTGGTCACAGCAAACTCTCCCTCTGTAAGCATATTCCTGAGTTAATGGCATTTGAATGACAAAACATTAGAAGAGAGTGTTAATGTTAGTTAATAATAAACGAACTTGTCTGAAGTGTCATTCCCTTTCTGAAAAGCCAAGCTGAAATTTGCTTCTCAAGACCATTCTCATGATTGCACAACGCCTATGTGCTAGTTATAATCCTATACTGAGCACTAAAGGTGTACAGCAAAGTCTCTCATGCCTTTATAAGTGGAATGCACTGATTAAAAATTCATTATATGTGAAAAATTGTTCTATGAAACAAAATTTTAAAAAGCTTTGATCCTGCCTGTTTCCAGTCTGGCTTTTTTCAGTTCGGTTGTTCCTTTGTCTAATGGTTAGGTGACAGTGGGATAAATCAGTTTGGTTTTGTTGGGTTTCTTTTTCCTTTCCTTTCTTTCCCTTTCCCTTTCCTTTCCTTTCCTTTCCTTTCCTTTCCTTTCCCCTTTCCTTTCCCCTTTCCTTTCCCCTTTCCTTTCCCCTTTCCTTTCGCTGCAACATACATGATCACTTAATGTTTATTTTGACAGGGTTGGAAAAGACATGGTTTTTATTGTTACTTCATTGGAAATACATTTGTATCTTTTCCTCAAGCAAATCAAACCTGTGGAAGGCATCAGGCCTTTTTAGCAACTATTGAAGACAGGTATGTAAAAGACTACATGCATGAGGGGATCACATAAGGATTTAACATCTAGCGTCATCTGAATATCAAAATAAACACTCTGATCTGGACAAAAATCTTGCTTTAGAGGACAGCTATCTGTAGATACAGAACTTCTTACAGTTTTTGCATTATATTCAAATCCAGGAATTCAGTTTATAATAAAAGTAAGTGATGGCTGTGAAATCAGTATTGATATAGATGGTTATGTCAAGGAAAAAAATAGAATTATGTTTTCTATTTCCTTAATTGTAGTGGCTTGAGGATGGGTTTTACTTGAGTGAGGGATGCAGAATACAATTTTGATTATTAAGTGAAGAGATACAGCTCTGAATTCCTTTCAAAAGGTACTTCAAATGAGCAAGAGGATATAATTTTCACCCACCTGGTCTTCTCAGAATTGAGCTACTTTTAAAAAAATTAAATAAGAAACCAAATGATGATAAAAGTGCTTGGTATCTGAAAATCCATCACAGTTCAGCCAGGGTTCAGTGTGTGCTAAATTTCCGAACAGGTGGTGCACATTATTAAATATAGAATATTGGGAAAATGAAAGTTAGGGTTAAGAAACAAAGCTTATTTTGCTTGCAGTTGACTTGATGCTTTACACTTTCTTACTTGTTTCTATGTAATCTAAATAGATATGTTCTAGTGTGAAAGCTCTAGCTGTCATGAATGGTAGCTCTCTAAATGTAGGTAGCACTGTAGCTGTCATACAAATAGTTTAACATTAATGTGGTCTTCAGACTATACCTTGTTAAGGGGAGACTTCTTTTATTTGCTTTGATTTCTTAAGAGCTGTTTGTTTAAACACCATAATGAACTATGACAGGCTTTACCTCTACATAGGCTTGTTTCCCAAACATAAGTTTTCTTGCATGATCGTTGGATCTAATTTGCAGTGTTCCTTATTTTGATAATTTAGTATCATACTACTTTAGCCTTTATTTTTTTATATCTCTTCAATAATGCTAAGATTCCTTTTCCAGTTTTGGATTTACCTGAAACAAGAAGTCATTAAAATTGAAGGATACTAGGAACTCTCAAAAAATACAGTGGTATAACACATAAGTCATGTCAGGGTTATTCTTTCCCACCAATTTAATTTTAGTCCATGATTATGTCACTTTCTTTACCGGACATCCGAAGAGAAGGCAGAATACTCTGGTACTGAAGCTTACAAAATATCTATTATGTAATGCTTTGTTATGTCCTTTGTTCAAGTAAATTCATCCAAGCTATGCTTTCAAGAAGGTACAGTGGTAATTCTGAGAAAATAACAAGCCTTTTAGAACTTTTAAAAATAAATGTAACAATATTAATGTAACAGTTGTGTTCTTTTAAACAGATATGAACAAGCCTATCTGACTAGCCTGGTTGGGCTGAGAACAGAAAGATACTTTTGGATTGGACTTTCAGATGTAGAAGAAAAGGGAACATTCAAGTGGGCTAATGGTGAATCTGTCTTATTTACACACTGGAATTCTGAAATGCCTGGTGGGTACGGCTCTATACTGTTTAACGAGTCCAGTGCCCAGAATACTTTGCTCACTACTTTAATTTTATTTCATTCCTTAGCCCTTACTTGATGGTATAATGACTAATTGATCTCAAATATATCTGGCTGCTTTTTCAGGCATGTAGTGCTGTTGCTAACTTCCTGCTGAGTGCTGAAATGAGTTTTTAATATGAGTTTGGGAAGAAACTTTAAATTGAGATCAAGTTTCTGATTTGTGTCTGTTCTGGGAACATCTGTGTCTGTACTACTCTGGAAGAGCAATATCTGCAGGCATATTGCGCCCTGCTTGCATGTCCTGCCTGCTCAGCCATATGTCATAGTGCACTTGCTCACTGCATGTTCTGAGGTGTGTGAGATGACAGCATGCATGAAGCACCATCCTAGAAAAAATGGAATTGTAGGGAAGGACAAGAGGCCCAAGGGAAGATTTGTGTTTAATCTTTTTTTAGTTGATATATTTGCTAGATTAATTGTGATTTCTTTATTTACTAACTTTTGTTAATGAAAACATTGCTATTTTTTTCTGTTCTGATAAAATTATGGGGGTGCGAGGTCATTTCATCTCTGACATGATCACATCAGAAAGGGGATGGTCATCAGCCTTCAAGGTTCTGGTGTGTTGCATTTGCCTTTTGGGAGATCCTCTGATTCATTTTAGTTTCAGTGTCTAAATGTTGATTTGAATGTGTCAGGTGGAGTGGTAAGGCTATGTAGACCATAAAGCCAATACTAGGCCTATATATAGTAAGTCCATTTTGAAAATCATAGTCAAATTAGACAAATTTGAGAAACTAGCTCTAACCACACCTTCAGTTTTAGGGAAGAATATATTGGATCACAGGTTATGATGTTGCTAGAGTCAGCCACTGGAGGTGATTTGATGTGAGGCACAATTCAGTATCTCAGATGTGGATGAACCACAGATTTTTTTGCTTGTTTTTTTTTGCTTCATGAATTAAAATCATAGAATCATAGAATCACAGAATGGTTTGGGTTGGAAGGGACATTTAAAGATAATCTAGTCCTACCTGCCCTGCCATTGGCAGGGACATCTTGCACTAGATGAAGTGGTTCAAAGTCCCATCCAACCTGACCTCAAACATTTCCAATGATGAGGCATCCACAACTTCTCTGGGCAACCTGTTCCAGTGTCTCACCATCCTCAGTAAAAAAAATTCCTCGTTATGTCCAATCTAAACCTACTCTCTTTCATTTTAAAACCATTGCCCCTTGTCCTGTCACTACAGGCCCTGGTAAAAAGTCTTTCTCCGTCTTCCTTATAAACCCCCGTTATGTATTGAATGGACGTGATAAGGTTCTCCAGGCTGAACAACTCCACTCCCTCAGCCTTTCTTCATAGCAGAGGTGTTCCAGCCCTCTGATGATTTTTGTGGCCCTCCTCTGGACCTACTCTAACGTTAGAAATATTTTTGGCTCTATACAAAGACTTAATTTCCATCAGTATAAAATATGAAGTTTTCTAAATTCTTATGACCCCCTAAACATTGCTTTTGTGCATTCCTGTTTTCAACCAGGAAGAAAGCCGGGCTGCGTTGCCATGAGGACTGGAATTGCAGGTGGATTATGGGATGTAATAAAATGTGAAGAAAAGGCAAAGTTCCTATGCAAAGTGTGGGCAGAGGGAGTGACGCTTCCACCTCTTCCTACAACAACTCCTATTCCTCGGTGTCCAGAAGGTTGGGACTCAAACAATCGTATTAGCTTCTGTTTCAAAGTAAGTATGTTGCTTATTTCTGCATTAAGGTAGTTTGTATTTGCTGCACATACATGCAATAAAAATTGGTATACATATATCTTACTGTTTCATGAGCTTATTTACAGATTATATGTAGAGGTCTTGTTCCCTTCTATTGAAATGCTGATGGTTTTGTTTATTCTGTTAAAGTCTGATCTTCAGGTCTGATCTTCTGAACTTAATTTCCAATTCTTTTAAGACTGAATTTCCCATTCTTTTAACATTAAAAGTTCCTTTCTCCTAGTTGTTTTGCAGCAGATACTCCTGTCAGCAATGCAGTTTGCTAACTTGGCTTAAAGACACTTATACTAGGCCTGTGTTTCACAGAGGTGAACACTCATAAACACTGTATTCAAAGTTTCTGTAATCCTCCCAGAACAAATTAATTGTAAATAAATTGCTTTTGGGTACTGGATGTTTCTTGATCTTGTGATCAATATGGTCTATTTTGTCTGATTGCAAAATGCTCTCTTTAGCCTTTTTCAAGAGGAGAGCAAAAGAAAACATGGCTTGAATCTCAAGAGTTTTGTCGAGCTATAGGAGGAGATCTGGCATCCATTAATGGTAAAGAAGAACAGTATGTGATATGGCGTTCTATTGCGTGAGTATCTGTAGTGTGGTTGTCCATTTACTTTAATTAGCCTTTTGATCTTTCTGAAATATTTAATTTTAGGTGTAAGTTTTACTTCAGTATAAGCCAGTCTGGATTCATTATCTGCATCTGTATCAAACACATAGCAAAAAAGTAGAGCTGATGAAATAGCAGAGTTGTATGACAAGTGGCAATCATTCCAGAAGCTAATGCTAAAATGAGATTGACAAGATATCTAGTTGAGGCTACATTTATCAGGATGTAAAAATATTTACTGTGGTTTGGGGATATTATAAAATTACCACAGATGCCAGTTGTTTTCAGATAAGCACATGTACAAGATATAAATCTGGTCAATATGTTGGTTGTTTGTCATTTTTATGAACTAATCAGAAAGCAGAAGCAACTTCAGAGTAATTTTTTCCTACACAGGGAATGTAAATAAGGTTAGTAAGTCCCTGAACTGTAAAAATCAGGTGTAAGATTTCTGAATGAGATCAAATACTCTTAAAAAGGTAACACTTGCCATATGACCTGAATAGACTGCGCTCGATGAACTTGTACATCCCTGTCTAACTAGGAAGCAAGACTGAAACATAGCAGCCTTGCAAAATGCTACAACCGTACTAGAATCCCAGCTACGTACTTACAGTAAGGAAGAAGTCTCAGATGCTGCATTACCACAAATTGACTCAATAAATTCAGATAAATCAGTAAAGTGTGTCTGCTTGCAGACAAGAATTAGCTTAAGGTGCTATTTTTCCAATGTGATTCAACTGCAGCAAGTAACTTTGTGTTTGGAAACCATAAATGCCTTTACAGAGAAGATGAAGAGTTGATAAATGGAGCAACAGTAGCTATTGAACTATTATACAAAAGTATTAAGCCACTTCATTTTCAGGAGCTGGATTGGATCTGGACATTTTCTTGGTCAGTATTTCAATCTGTCTGAGTTAATGTGTAGTGATAACACCTAGAAGTGGTTGCATTTTAATTAATTTCCACCCTGGTTGTTATTGTTTCTAACAAACAGCTTTGAGGATTATTTTTAAAGAAGCTTATTAACTGTTGTGAATGATAGATTATTAAAAATATTGTAATGCCCTTATTACTCTTGGTTTTACATTTAAACTTCTTATAAATGAGACACTTATTTTGGGGTGGGTTTTTTTGGTTTTTTTTTAGGAACAATGGCTATTACCACCAGCATTTCTGGATGGGGTTATATTACTTGAATCCTGATGATGGCTTTGTTTGGAGTGATGGATCTCCAGTGAGTGATTTAATTTTCCACAGCTGTTATTTTGCATTCCCTGTGCTTATCAAGTGTGTGTGGTGTATGTGTTTCTGTGTAATTTTATGCTTAATCATAACCCTCTACTGTATCATGCTATTTTTAGGAAAGCTTATGAATAGCAATTTCATGGCTTGATTTTTTTGGCTAAAACATACTGATTTTTGATAAGAAAATGTGCATTGAAACAGCAAGAAAATTAAATCCATGTAGACTAAAAGGATGCTGTCATAAATGCAAGGATTTTTTAAGGGAAAAAAAATCCATCTTTAGTATTTCTCTTCTTTACTAATTTGATCTTTATCTGAAATGGCCTACATTCCATAGAGCTGAAGGCAATTGTTTTATGTCAGTGTGACTTCACTGTACTTTAGACTAAGACAGAAAACTAGAAAAAAAAGTGGGTTTGGAGGTGTGGGTGTATTTCATGCAAGGTTGGTCAAAATATATTGATGGAAGTTTACCATACAGAAAACCGAAATTGGAATTTATACAGGAAAATCAGAATAGCAGTAATATTTTTTTAAGAAAAATGTCAACATTTTTGTTGTTCCTCAATAATGTCCTACTATTTTACTCATACAGGATATTTACTTAAATTAGTATCAACATGTAGCATGCCCCATCATTGTTATTAGGTGAATTTTACAGAATTTAGGTCCTATAAAAAGTCAATATTCTTCCAAGTGCGATCAGAAACAACTGTTATCTAAGCTGCAGTCCAGCTGCAATCTGAAAAAAAGTTTGAAATGTCAGCATTTGCACAGGGAGATTCTGGTTTCCTTTTATCTAAGTTTTTAAACTGTCAGTAGGAAGAAGTTGTGGGTCTGTGGTTTAATGCTGTCTCCTCCCTCTCTCCATTGTTTTCTTTCTATATAACAGAATTTCACAAAACCTTTTCTGTCATAGGTGCGGTATGAAAACTGGGGCTTTGGAGAACCCAATAATTATCAAGGGATTGAACTTTGTGCAGAGATCAGTGGTGATTCCAGCATGCTTTGGAATGACAGGCACTGTGATTATCTATATGGATGGATTTGCCAGATAAGAAAAGGTATCACTTACTCCTGTGTATTAGTAAAATCAGAAAAGATTCTCAGTTGATTTTTTCCTTAACTTTAAGAAATAAAAAATTTCAAAACCTGTTTATCAGAATAGTTCTGGTGGAATGTGAAATATCTAAGTGGTATAAGGGTTTCCATGTGTTCAATGCATTTAAAGATACAGAGCCTTTGGTGCTCTGCTGGAACTTCTCACTGACCTTTCTCTATGATTTCAGAAAGGGAAATGTGATACTTGAAAAATAGGAAATGTTAATTTGAATATTCACATTCACTTTTGACTTTTCATTTAGAGAAGTTCATGCCTTCTCCAACAAATCCTATTTTGGATTTTTTTTTCTGAGTTGAGTTTCAAGTTATTAGAAAATAGTTTGCAAATCAGTTCACATACCTGAATTTTTATGTGTGAAAACTCCCTCCTTACAGGTCAGGTACCGTTTTGTCAACTAATTGAATCTGTAGTTGCAAGATGGGGCCTGGTTTTGAGATACTTTTTTTTGCTTTGGCTGGGTTTTATATTCATATGTCGGTTTCTTGCTAAATGCTTTTGAGATCTGAGTTCAGATGCTTTTTATTTTCTGAACACAGCAAGACAAAATTTATGATTTAGAGAAATCTTGAGTTCCACGCAGCGCATCTACCTAAGTCTGAGTATTTTAGAAAGTGCTTATTTAAACATTTTACCATATTCTTATATTGGGAAGGAGGGGAGCAAAATAAAGAAGCTGCATTAGATTATTGACAATAAAGTATCAGCTCTGCTTTATATTGGTAAAAGAATTTCTTAGGCAGAGAATTTCTTATTAAATGCTGATATCTGTGAGGTCATAATTTAGCACCGAGACAGCATGAAGACAGAGATCTCCTGTGTTAGAAATTGTTTTGCTGAGCTGCTATTGATGCCATCCAGGATGCTATCTCCATGATGCCATAGCAAAAACAAACTCGGGAATTCTTTAGCTTGAGGTCTTCTTTTCAGAAAGGACCAGTTAATTTCTTGGGATCTTTTCCAGTGAGATTTTATCTGGGGACTTTTTTAAGATCCAGATAGCAGTTCTTCTCAGCCAGGGAAAGATGGAAAGAACCTCACTCTGTAGTAGCTAGGGCACCACGGAAGAAGATAACCCAGCCTGCGTTCCTGCTGTCTCTGGTTTAAGCCAGAATTCTTGTATAAGTGACCAGGGGAAAGGAAGGAACGGGACACGCAGGACTGTCTTAATAGAGTTAATGCTTTGGGACATAAGGTTTTCTGTATCCAGTGAATACCAAAAAAAATTACTTAATTCAGGTAAATGTCAAGGTATTTTATAATACCTTGCACATAAGGAATAGCTTCAGGGAACAAGAATATTTATTTAAAATCAAATAGTGTACCCAAAATAAGAGATTAAGGGTATTTAGTTCCTTCTAGGTTTTGGTGTTAAATCCACTGCTAACTGTAGAATTCAATGTCAATAGAAAAAACATGCCTATCAATTATGGTAAATATTTTCTCTTACAGCAGAAAGTTTACAATCATAATAAATATTTTTTTCTTACAGGGGCAAGTGTAAAGCCTGAACCAACAGAATCTCCTGCACCCAGTAAGTGTTATTGCTATTACTACATGTGTGTGTGTGTTTAAAAGCATTTTTAAAATTTCACTGATGAGAATGTCTTCTATCTCAGGAACAATGTAATTAGCTTAGCATTTATCTTACAGAGTACAAGACTACTGAGGATGGATGGATTATACATGAAGACAAACAATATTATTTCAGCACAGAGAGTGTTCCTATGGAAAAAGGTCGGGAGTTCTGCAAAAGGAACTTTGGGGACCTTGCCGTCATTCAGAATGAAAGTGAAAGAAAGTTCCTCTGGCGATATGTAAGAAAAATCATTAATACTATGGAATAAATCATCCAAAATAAGTGAGCATGGTCACAAATTCTTTTCACTCTGGTGTTCTCCCTACAAGTTTTATGGTAGTGAAATTGCAGTAGCATTAAGCCAGATTAATATGAAGAACAAACTCAAGTCTTTTTTTAGATTGTTTCATAGCTGAGATGAGGACAATTTAGTTTCGTATTTTATATAGAAATAAGCACAGGGAACATTAAACAGATCATTATTTGCTTTTCCTGTTCAACGTGGCAGTTCTACCACGTTGTATCTATCTGCAACTGGTAATGTGCTAAGGTAAATCTTAATGCTTACTTTTAATTGATCTGTGGCTTCATTTTAGCAACAAGTCTTGTACTTGTGAGCTATGATTCTGTAAGGCGGGTGAGTTAACTGAAAGTAAAGTTTATCAACAGATAAGATAGCTTAAGTAGTGGATCAAAAGAGATACTGGCTTACATGCAACACTCAGAACATTGGCTTTTGATCTTGTCAGTGTATCTGGGATGTAGTCTACCTAGCAGCCTCTTTTTGGTCCTCAAGTTTGCTCCTTTGCCTCCTTCTTCTTGTGGAGAAAATATAATTATGCAGGAAGAACAACTTGAGGCATGGATTATGCCATGAGAAAGAGCTTTTAAATGATATTTCCTAGGTGGCTGGGGTTGTTTGCCTGTTTATACTGTATTGAGACCAACTTCTTTCAATCAGGAATGTGCTCAAAAGTCAGATTTGAACTACAGAGAACTTTTCCTAAGCTGGCTGAAGAGTGGCTGTGAGATGACACAAAGGCCTATATCAATTTATATCCAAATTGTAGGAAGGCTTGTCCCTTGCAAAAAATGTGTCAGATGATGTCCACTGCAGAGACTGTGCAAGAGGTGCTGATTTCAGTGGCTTTCAAGTAAGACTGTGAGAAGTGTTGATATAGTGACCACACCTTTTGGCCAATGGTGAAGTTTGACCGTGGACTGTCAGTTGTGAGCTGATTTAACTTAAATGTTGCAGCTAGAGAATATAGCAGTTCATATCCTCTGTCAGACATATATTACTCATTATTAACATAACAGATTTCTACGGTAAAAAGAGGATATTTATACAATTTTAATCTTTACATTCTAGATCTTGAAAAATGGCAGAGAGGATTCCTATTTCATTGGTTTACAACTGAGTGTTGACCAACGGACAAGGTATGCCAACTAGAACCATCAAGCTTGCATTGTGCTTTAAAATAAAGAAATCTACAGAGCGGAGCAAAAATAATGAAGTGCTTGAATGAAATTGTGGCCTGTCAAAACAAATGAGAATGTTTTTCCCCTGAATTCACCCAAAGCTATCAGAAAAATTACACTGCAGATAATGTATTTTGAATTTTTATTCAGGAATTCTAGTTTCCTTTATTCCGTGATTTATATTGAAAATATAAATAAATGCCCCAACTCAAAATATGTAAGATTTTGATAGGTAAAAACATTCTTTTTCCCTGTCTGTTGGGAACAGACTGTAATAAAGAGAAAAATGCGACATATTTTCTTTCTGTAGAACAGAGATAGCTGTTGCCATTATATGACTTCAGGTGCACTGTGAGGATAAGCAGGTTTTCTGTAAGCCTTTCTGGATGTCAGTATACAGCACCATGTTGATTTTTACATGTGATGTTAATTTAGGCCTGGATTCAGTTCAGTCTGGGTCTTGAAGTGCCTGGATAGATGCCTAATAGTTCTTGGTTCTCCTCATAGTCTGCAGTAACAATGAGGAACCTCCAGAAGATAATTAGGATGTTAGGTGAACCAGATCACCTTCTGAAAATGAGGTGTCTGTGCTATTCCATTGTTTTTGTATGGACCCTAAGATGAAAACGCTTTTAAGTGAAGTACCTTGTGTATGAGCATCTCTGTCACTTGCAGGCCAATAGGAACATGTCTCCTAATAAGTGTTTGGTTGCCTGGTTATGATTTTTTTCTTTATTGTTTAGTCTACGTGAATATACAAGTTTTTCGATGTTTGTATTTTACCTTATGGTAAGGCACATTGTCACAGGAATTTCCTTGTAGGTGGTTTGTCATGCCCTTTTCCTCTGCATGGGGGAAAGATCAAGCATTTTGCCAGTGTTGTGAATAAAATCTCTTATCTCTGTAATAGGCACAGGGAATGTATGACTTGGGGGAAATGGTGAGCAACCGGGCTTTCTCATGCTGAAATGGTGTCTGGCTTTCACATTGGCCCAAATGGTTATTTTGAGTATTGTCCTATCAGTTGCAAAAGTGTCAGCATATTGCTTAAATGTAAATACAACTTCAACACATACATCTACATCTTTGCGCAGAGAGGAAGGTTAGTGCAATTAACAAAGAGGCAAATTGGTCAAAAAACCTTGTACACCTTAAGCTATGAATGGATATATTAAACATATTGCAAAATTACTTTTTGTAGCATGGAAGCAATTCTGTTTGTATGTTAAAGAAGTGTTTTGTTGGATTGTTTTTCTTAAGCTGGATGGATGGCACTCCAGTGAATTATTTGGCATGGGCACCACATGAACCTAACTTTGCAAATAATGATGAAAACTGTGTTGTTATGTATAAGAATTTAGGTGAGTTTTGTATGTTTGTTCCTGAATTTAGTTATTTCTGTGTTTGTGTCACAACTTTTTTTTCTTCTGAGAGGCACCCCTTCCCCCCTTTTTTTGCTCTTTGCAAAATGTTATAGAAGTAGACCATAGTATTATTTTCAGCACTTAACAGTTTTGTGCTCTTGTGTTTGCCTTAAGCCTACCATGGGGAAGCTCTGATAGAGGTCTGTGGTTGTGATTGCTATACAACTGGTTTATATTTTTTATTAAAATTGGCCTAATGTGCCACTAAGAAATTGATATTTCTAGTACCTGGTTCTACACTGTTTTTAACATTCTGTAATTACAGTGTTTATAAAGTGATATATTTATCCTGGATGCTGATATAGAATGATAATAAACTGAGAGACTCTAAGGATTTGATCTTGCCTTTCAACTAAAAGCACTTTGTATAAGAATGAGTGAAACTGCTTTCCATTTAACCAGCTCTGGATGTGGTGTCATACAGTTCCCTATTTATCTTACATTCAGGATTTTGGAATGATATAAACTGTGGTTATCCAAATCCCTACATATGTGAAAGGCACAACAGTTCCATTAATTCAACTGTTCCTCCAACAACATTTTCAGCTCCAAGAGGATGTCATCCAACTTGGCTTTCCTTTCATAATAAGGTACTAGAACAAATACAGTGCATGTTGGATGTTTGGCAGCATTAAATAGAAAACAGGGAATTATTTAATAATATTGTTTCTTATTAAAGTAAAATATTATTATTTTTTGCAAAGAGCTGGTTGACTCCTGCATGCTTTTTTTTTTGTTTGCCCATCCACTGTTTTGCAGGAAAGGTGCTTTTTTAATGCTTCTAATGAAGTGGCAGATGAACATATTCAGTTGCAGTTGACGAAAGTAATTTTCTAGTCATCTCTTCAAACCTTTTGATATGCATTTCCTAAAGAGTTTAGACAGAGTTCCTGAAGTATTGATGCTTTGACCTTGATGTTTTTTAACCAAACCATAATGCTTTGTCAGTACTGAATACATTTTGCCTTCCTTAACTTTACTAACATAGTATGCTTTGTAGAGTCAAATAAATAAACAGGCAGACTAATATCAGTCATGCATAACTTACTACTGTTAGTTGACTGTCTATAAAAAGTCAGTTTTTGCTTATTTTCTAGGGGTTTCAGATCAAATCTAGTATGTGTCTTGTTAAGCAAAACACTTTCTTGAGAACTTTAATTTTATATAGAACAAGGATCAGCACAAAAAGCTCATTTTAAGCTGAAAGTGGTTTTTTTTTCAGATAAATGCATTATTTTACTGCCTTTTCTCCATCCTGCTTTGCTTAAAGCAGTGGTTTTCAATCTGTGAGGGATATTGGAGTAAAGATAATATATAGAGAATTTGTTCATGTTTTAGTGTTACAAAATATTTGGATCTACAGAAGATGAACGTGTCACTTGGCATGCTGCACGAACAGCTTGCATGAATTTAGGAGGAAACCTGGCCACTATCCCTAATGAACAAGTGCAAGGTACTGTGTATAGTTTTGTAGCAACTAGATGAGATTACATTTAATCTTTACAGGATGGCTGTTATATTTTTGTGAATATAGACAGGATTTGACTAATGGTTCTATGATCTGATTTTTGTTCCAAAACGTATAATTTTTAGAAATTTACAATGAAGTCTTTACCTGACTGTACCAAATCTTAATATTGTAATGTTGGCTTAGATATATGTAGTATATTGTCCTGGCAGCCAAAGTAGTGCTTCTTCTGCTTACACATCATGCCAGCTGGACCCAGCAAGTTCCATTCCAAATAATGTAGTTTCACTAGGTGGCATTAACATGCTGCATGGCTTTCATATTAACTCAAGCAGAACACCTTTAGGATGAGAACTTACTGTCTCTGGGCAGCTTGGGACAGAGGTTTGACTGCTCATACACCTACCCACAACTCACCACATACATGTACCATTCTTTTCACTAGAGGAACTTATTTTAATGAACCTAAGAGCTACATCCATGACTGGGGGAGATGAGCAGAGGGAAATTACCTCATGCTTGAATAAACATGGCACACATTCAAATTAAAAATTGGGGAAGATTTTGATAGAAGTTAATAACACCCTCTTCTTAGAAATACTGTTTTATACTACAGTGGTGAGAAAGAGATGTTGCACAACACATACTGTTTGTGAACTCAAAAGAGCATACTGAAAAATCAACCATAGTAAAACAAGTCCGTGTTGTAGTCTGAACAATTAAATAGTTTAAATTTAGACTGCTGACGTGAACTTAGTGCTACTTATGTTTCCACATGTGAAGAGATGAAGAATCAAACTTTCACTTTTCAAACGTAGTTAAATTCTTCTCCAGCATAATTTCTGCAGTACAGATTTCAGGTGATTGGTTCATGCACAGGGCTTGAATTCTAGGTAAAAGAGAAATGAGCAATAAAGTTATTAGCACAAAACTATTGTTATTGCTGGCAATGTAGGCATAAAGGCTTGGGTTCCTGCTACAGTTTCTGGCAGAACAGCAATGCTAACATTTGGCAAAGAATTCTACAGGTTTCATTCCTGGAAGTGTAAGTTACATTCATTTTAAAAGACTAAAGGAAGGTGAATGGTTGGTAGAGCAGACAGAAATTCATCTATTGTTTGCAGAGAAAAGTAAGCCCATAACAATGACTGTAGCAGTTGGCAAAAGCCATTATAAGTTCATTTTATCACAGTGTTTGATGTATCTTGGATTAGCAGGTTGATGAATGCCAGCTGACCTAGCCTGCTCTATTTGTCAGCTAGCCACGCTAGCTAAGACACATAAACACCTTCCTGGACTGTGCAAAGCTGTGGTAGTTAATTTACTTGTGATGAACAGTTCTGTTGAGGCTCATTTTAAGCATGTTGCTTGCGCATTCTGCTCCCTGCTAAGACAGTGCAGGCTATTGCTCAGGTTTTCCAGGGAGAGAGGAAACACTCTCGCAGTTCTATAACAGCACTACTTGTGCAGATGCACAAGTGGTAGGTGCTCAGTGGTGCTGTCTGATGCCACGGGGAGGTAACCACTCTGGTGGGATTAACAAAAATGTATGTGATCTACACGGCTGTATATTTCTAAGAAGTCAGTTGTGGGACTAGGATTTAAAAATATCTGGACACATTTCTGTCATGCTTTTGGGAATCATCCCAGTACCAGGTTAGATACTTAGCTGAAGTATTTTGCCCAAAGCCACAGTTATATCTGGTTCCTTGTTCATTAAACTCAGAAGTCACCTCCTTTTCATCTAACCTGCTTGTGTTGTCAACAATGAAGTGTTCTGTATTTCAGAAAAAATACTTAATATCACTAATCTCAGTGAGGTCAGACATTTCAATTGTCCTTCATTAAAAGTATTTCTCTTTTTCTTTGCCTTTTTTTACTCTAGCTTTCCTCACCTTCCATATGAAAGATTTTGTTACTGATACATGGATTGGATTAAATGATATAAATCATGAACTGAGGTTCCTCTGGACAGACGGAACAGGAGTTTACTTTACAAACTGGGCCAAAGGCTTCCCATCGGGACATATGGATTTATACTCATATGATGGCCAGGTAAATAGCAATCACAAATTGTTAACTGAAATTTGATTTTAGATTGCATTTATGGATTTGTTGGGATTTGAGACATGTTACTGCTTGACTTACTATTACTACTTTCATACTTTTATACATGTTGAATATAAATCCAAATAGAGTGAATGGTTTTGAGCCCTTGTCAGTCATTGTATTAGCTGGTGACAGGATCTGTAGAGTGCTCATATAAAGTCTGGTTTCAGATTTCAATTCTCTGTGTCCGTGAAGGCTACGCTGCTTCTGTGTTCACCCCGCGTTCTCTCATAGGCTCTAGTAAAGAGGATAGTGGGATTCCTGTCTCATGACATTTTCCCCAGAAGCACACTGAATGAGCATATCCTCCTAGTCCTCTGACCACCATTGTGCCTGAACTTGGCAGGTTTCTCAGTTGGCATGTAGCTTGCAAGGGCCACTTACAAACATCCACCTCAAACAGCCATGTCTTACATAGAAGCAAATTCTGTCAGTCACATTTGCAGAAAGGACATGCTTCTATAAAAAGACAGCCATTCAGTTTTTATGGAGAAAAAAAAAAAAAAAAAGAAAATCACTTCCCCTATTTATTTGTCATACAAACTGATCTGATAGGTCATGAAGTTCCTCTCTGTGATCTTACATGTTGAGATAGTTCTGTTCTATGGAACTACAGCACATTATAGTACTTGCTCTATTTCTTTTGAATGCCATTTTTAATGTAGAAAACTCATTTTTATGTATAATGTCCTTTTTCCTGTTTTTGAAAGTAGCACCTCTCAGCTTGTTATCTCTAATGGAGGGAGAAAATTTGAGAGAGTTCAGAGTGTAAAAGAGAAAGCATCTTTAAAATGTTACTTTGGGGAGGAACAATAGATATTTTTCTCTTTTTATGAAAAGTAGTAGGATTTATATGAAGTCTTCTGTGAAAACCTATAAAGTCCCTATTTTATAAATTTCAGATTTATTTTTAAGTTTACTTGACCTTAGCAAAAAATAAGTTATCATAGTTAATACAAAATACCATGCAACTGTTCAGTTTGAAAGATTTAAAACTCAATGCATTTCACTCACAAATGAAGTGTTTCTCTGTGAATCTCATCCTGGACAGCAAAACCAAATAAGTAAATAGAATAAAGTAAATATGGATGCTTCATTGCCCAAAACCATTTGTACCCATGCAGTCTTTTGCATTCATCACTGTTAGTTTAATATGTGCTAACATAGGTTCTGGCTATTGTGTCCATGTCAGAGAAGTTGAAATGTCACTGTAAGGGTGGTACTGACAGATCAATGGCTGCCTTTGTGCAGGAGCAGTTCTAATTTTGCTGTGTGTACTGTTACAGCTTGCAACAATACATTTGGAGACTGATATGTCAGAAATGTTGCATTGCCCATTGAGGATCATGTTTTTTTCTGGGGCAAAGTTAACAGGTCTTTTCTACAATAGCTGATTTCACTTCTCTTGTGACATTGTCTGTGGCTTTCCTTCTCTCCATGCTGTATGTCTGGAGATATGACAATACTGAAATTTCTCTGGTCTGCTTATCCACCTCAATGTTGTGCAAGAGAGAGCAACATTAAGAAAGCTATGATGTGCAAGAGGAACAGAACCTCCACATCACAAAGCTTATGCTTTTAAATGTTACAGGGATATGAGACTAAAACTACAGCATTACTTGTGTCTGAAGATGTAAAAGGGGGACAAAAGTTTTGTATTTGCTTCTTCTAGCTATTTGTAACTGATTTTATATCTTTTTGCCTCGAGGCTGATTGTGTTGTCATGAGAAACAATCCTGTTAAGGAAGCAGGGAAGTGGGCTGATGAGAGTTGTGATAACAACAGAGGATATATATGCCAAATTAATGCAGGTACTTGTCTTTTAGTTAAAACACAATCAAACATTTTGTTTTTTGAGGGAATTGCTTGTGTGTGTGGATTTCAACATCATTTCACTTCCAATAAAGATACATCCAGAAATTGTTTTTCAGGCAGGAACACGAGGGTCATATGTGTCAGAGGTCCAGTTAGAGTCACTACTCTCAGCTGACCCTTCCCAGTAACTGCCGTGTTGCTACCTTCCTGAGCTGGAATTTATATCTGCATCTTTGTGTTTAGTACGACCCTTGACATAATATTTGTTCCATGATTTTGCCTGTCATTTTCTGAACACATTGGCTTTCAAAACATGTTCTGGAAAATACTGGCTTGTACATGTAACATGAACTGTCTGGGGTGTGACCGTAACTCACCTGCACTGAACTTGAGCTAATTCACCTCCAAAAAGGAAATTTAAAAGCAATGAAAACCTGGATTTAAATATCTGATTTTTAAGGACTGGTCTGTTGTGTAGTTTTTCTTTTCTCTGGCAAAAAAATCCCCGGAAAACAACACAGTCTCTGCAAAACATTTCTTTTGATGAAAAAATATTTTATTAAAGAAATTGTGACCTAATCTAACACTAATTCATTTCAGTAATACTGTTCTGGAAGATTATACAGAATGGTCCTTTACTCCTTGTCAGAGGTTGCTTTAAGCAGTTCTTTTCCTTTCTACAGCTTTGTAATTGATTTTTACTACTGATGTTGGCTTAAAGAATAGCACATCTAACCCATGATGATCAAAAGTCAGGGAATATGAAATCAAGAAAAAAAGCTTTTTGTTGAATTCTATTTACAGCCACAGTGAGATCATAATCCCCTTTTGAACAAGTATGTGAGTCTTTTTTCATCCTTTATTTTACAGATGCTGAGTTTCTGCCTTCTATAAGTTCATCCCCATCTAGCATTATCCGTTATGGTAACAGCAGTTATTTGTTCATCCATACCAAAATGAAATGGGACGATGCACGAAAGAACTGCAGACGTGATCAGTTTGACCTTTCCAGCATCTTAGACCCCTATAGTCATTCGTTCCTGTGGCTAAAGATGTTGAAGTATGGGGTGCCTATGTGGATTGGTCTTAACAGTAATGTGGTAAGAACGTCAGACTAATTGAACATGATGCTGTTTCTCTTATGGACAAATCAGGAACTGAAAAGTCTTACTATGTCACTTTACTTTAGCCTATTAGTTTATATCTTGGTCCTAAATACTTTTATGTGCTGTCAGATTTACAGGTAGGAATCCATCCTCTTCCATTATTCTGATTAAATTGTATATATTACATATCTTTTTCAGACTTTTTCTGTGATATTACACTCTGTGCACTTCCAAAAAAGACATTTTAGTCTAGCATCTTGAAATATCTCTTTGCATGTATGGCGTAGTTAAGATAAAATCCACATATTTTAAGATGTACAGTGGAAAGCATTTATGCTAAATAACAATACTTAATTTTCAGAAATAGAATAAGGTGCTGTTGCTATGACTTTTCCAACATTTTTGAGGATAGTTAGCCAAATAATTAATTGGTTTACCTAATTTAATTTTATTTATCTCCCCTCTCCCAGTTCTTTGATATTTTGATACTTTCTGGATCTTAAAGTACACAACCCTTTCTTCTTGGCACAGGCACTTGTCCCATATTGACTCCATTTGGCTGAGCGCATGAAAGAAATAGAAATGAGTGAACATCCCTAAACCCCAAAAGACTCCCCTAACCTAATCAACAGGATGATTCACTGAGTTCACCAGCTTTGGTGGGAAATGATTAAGTTTTTAAATATGCTTTAAGTTAAAATAATCTACATTTCTTGAAATTTGGGTGAAACAGATAGTACAAAAGTTAGTCATCAGACTTTCATTCCTACAGATTATTTTAAATGAAATTTGTATTATACCCAAATTAACAGTTTTCTGAAGTTCAAAATTAATTCAGTGTCACTTATTCTGCATTTCCTTTTGCTGAAAAGCATTTGTGGCACTGCTGTATTTCTCAATGAATAGCTGCTTGTCACAACATAAATTTAAAAGTTTGAGCCATTTGTATTTGTTACTGATTTCTAAAAAAAAAACTTCTAGCACAAGGTGCTGCATAGACAGACATTTGACTGATGAAGGAATGGTTAATGCTTAGAATTTAATCATTCCTGTTGATTTGTTTTGTTCTTAGACCAATGGGCGTTATGAATGGATTGATAACTGGAGAATGAAGTATACTAAATGGGCTGAAGGGGAGCCAAAACAGAAAATAGGCTGTGTCTATCTAGACATTGCTGGAGCCTGGAAGACAGGATCCTGCAATGAAAGTTACTTCTCTGTTTGCAAAAAACCTGATGGTAAGAACTTTAATCTAACCATTGTAATTACAATGATTATCTCTTTAGAGTTCATTGTGCTGGGTGGTCTGCTGATATATACTTAGATGCTGTTTTTTATTTCAAGACCTAAATAGATGAAACTATTAAAATTTACTTGGTTGAATGGGGCTGCTTTAAAATGAGGGCTAACACATACTAAGAAAGAGCGAGTATGACTGTGAATAGCCATCATATTAATAATGTTACATATATTTTGCAAAGCTTAGACTAATGTTACTCTGCTATTTATTCTGCGTTTGAGTAAGCATGCAAGACCAAAAACCTCAAAAATGAAAAGGCAGTGGATGTTAGGTAGTAGTCACATGGGTATGGTTGTTGAAGGGGGAAGAGCTGAATGACCAGGCCATAAGGTGTCACAAGGAATGTTTACCCCTAACAGCTTTCCAGGTTTTCCTTTTATAACTGAATAACAAACTACAGGTGGTATAGAAATGTTTAAGGATACTTCTTCAGGCTGCCTTCTCTTATGTTTTTGACCTGAAACTCCTGTTACTGTCATCTGATAATGCCTTCTGCATTCCATGATATTAGAACACAGCCCACATGATCAAGTTCATATGGGCCCTAATTCAGCAAAGCAGTCAGGTGTGAAAATAACGTTTGTGAGTAAAGTGTTGAGCTGAACTTAAGAATGTGTTAAAAGATAACAGTATGCTTGGATTCTTTGCTAAATTAGATTTCTTGAGACTACAGTTGCAGTACTTTGTTCATAGATTTAGGACTTTTTTGCATTACTGTGTTGTAGTAAGCAGTATAGACTACCGAGATTACATTTTTTTTTTAAACGCCTGAGTGAGTTTTCCAACATTCAGTTAGAATAACGTATTCATGATAAAAGAACATGTAAGAAGGTGTTTCTTTAAGTTTCGTGCTTTCTTTGTTTAAATTTCTTTTTTTAAACAGTTCAAGCTCCCACAGAGCCCCCTCAGCTTCCAGGAAAGTGCCCTGAATCAGAAGGACACAAGTCTTGGATCCCTTTCCGAGGTCATTGCTACTACATTGAATCTTCATCTACAAGAAACTGGGCCCAGGCATCTTTAGAATGTCTTCGACTAGGTAAGTATCCTCCTTAAAAAAAAGAGCACAACTTTCTGACTTGTTTTTCCTCTCTGTGGAAAGCTGAACATGTGCTATGTATTTTTGTGATTTCAAGGATGGTCCAAGTGTTGGACAGGACAGTTGCATCCAACTATTGCCTTGATTTGGGAGGAGATGAAAAATAGCTGCCTACATGTCTTTCACATGGGTGGGACCAGGCATTAGAGGAGCTGTGTGGCCTGGAGTAGAGATCACAAAAGTGGAAACTCTGTCCTTTGATCCTGCTAGGAGGTAGTCAGCCTCATCCACAGCAGTGACTAAATCTTATTTTAATGGCATTTTATATCTTTTGTATTCCTGATCTAATTTGCCCCTTGATTATTGCAGTTTTATGTCACTGGAATGACAGTTAGAACTCTCTAGGCTGGATAGTACATTAATAAACTAGGGTTGTTGTGTTGTTTCATTCTTGCAACTTCCTTCTCCGGAAAAGTGATGTAAGATTCATTACGCTAGAATTCATATGTCTATAGCATTGGTGTATATAGCATTGCTGGCAATGTGACTTAGGTGTCTAACCTCCCATTAGAATATGCAGAGATCTTGCTTATGCGGTCAGTGGAACTGAATACAGATTGAACTTCACTGGAAGTATATATTGACATTTGGTTAGGTGAATTGCACCCTAAACTCCACTGACTGGGTTGATTAGGTCTCCACTGATAATAAACCTACCAGTGAAACTGATGTCAAATATAGACACCTAGAGCTGGGTAAGAAGAATCTCTTTCTGCTGGTACTCAGGTTCATTGTTGAGTTCTCATGAGCTAGTATGTTGCCATCTCTCATTTGAGAAACTAGTATTTCTGAGGGAAGGTTCAAGTTTGGTATATGTTGTTTAAATCTCACTATATTCTCCACATCAACATTTGCATAACATTTGAATGAAGATACTTGATAATATACTTTTAAATATAGAAAACACTCCATAATAGAAGACTTTTGCTGTAGCTCAGTCTTTAAGACTATCACAATTGTTACAGTGTGAGCCATTTCTATACAGTCTTCTGAGTTCTTTTGTTGGCATGACAGATGCTCAGTCTTTGAAAGCTGCAATGTATGTTCTTAGTTATGCGTAGTCAAAAGAACCTTGACAACTCTGCACACAACAGCTGTTGTCTGTTATCTGCAGTTCTCTGCTTTAAGTGGAATGGTTATAACTTTGAATAAATAACATTTCTTTTCTTTGGAGGACTGAGTTTCTGAAACAGACTTTCAATAAGAAGAGTGGGGCAAATAAATGGAAGAGTTTTAAGGTGAAGTTTGAGAGGACTTGAATGATGATATTGCATGTGGTAGCAGGTGCCTCTGCTCACTGACTCAGGTTGTCCACAGCTGTCCCATATCTTTGTTGTTGGAATCTGCAGTCACCTCAGAATTGCCTTTTTCTGTTGAACTAAGATTCCTGAAAAAAGGCACTGACCATTTGTTTCAGCATATGTGGTAAAAGACTGGTGTTATGTGGAGTTTAAAATTTGAATGCTAGTATACTTAAGACTTCATGTCACTGACACCCCTTTCCCTTCAGTGCTAACCTTAATCTTTCACAGTAATTGTTAGGGCAGGCTGAATCCAACAGCCCAGCAGAAGCAAAGTTGCCATGGCTCTATGCTCCCAAGTCCAGCCAGTGACAAGGCTGAAAATGTGTTCCCTGTAGGCGCACATCCACATATACAACACATCTATACATACGTTCATGGCTGGCCACGCAGTAGTCAATCCCTCATGGTGTCCTGTAGACACACACAGGGGCACACACACATACAGATCTAGCTGGAACTCCCCTGTTCTCCCAGTAGCCATCCCCTCCTTGGTCTCACCCTTAGAGATGCACGCACACCAGCTGATTCAGCAAAAGAGGAATAATTAGAAAAACATAAAGACTAGTGAAAAAAGAGGAACGTTCCATGTTCTCTTATATTCTGCTGTCCCTGCTTGCACTCTGGGTTTTGTTTGCAGTTGGACATTTGCCAATTATATCTTACCCATAGTAGAATTCTGAACCATAGTAGAATTTATCAGTAGCTCAGCAGTGATTCAAATGACTTTTATATTTTCATTCTCTGGAACTGTGCCTTCCTTACCTGAGAAAAAATAACTTCAAAAATTGAACAGCCAAATCAAATGCCAAACACAGCTATTGCTCTGTACCTATGGACTGGATTCCAGCCCCACGCTAAAGAGAACTGAAGAGGCACTTTCTCCAGTGTTTAATGCCCCTCCATACAAAGTCACGTTGCTCATTCTGTCTTCTGGCTCCATGCTGTGACTTCTTGACTTTGCTAGAGCATCATACAGAATGAATTATGGCAGAATGCTTAGTGTTGTATGTGGATAACTAACAGGGTATTACACTGACTGGGCAACAGATGACCAAGATGATCATTCTTTCTCTGATGGCTACAAAGAGAATGTAGGAAAATAAACAAGACCTGGTTAAAGAGTTACACTAAGGACTGTGCTTCAGAAAGTCAGCAAAGTCTGTGCTGTACATGAGCTATAGAAAGGATCATAAAACATTTAATCATTAATGTGTGAAGTTACATTGTGCACAGACTGAAGTCATGTGTACTTTTTACTAAAAACCTTTAAATTTTTTAGAGTGCTTTTGGTTTTTTTTAAATAGTAACACATCAGTAGAAATTTATGCTAGTTACCATATTAGCCTGTTGTATTTTGCCTAGAGTTGTTTTTCAGTTATGTTGCTATTTCCCAGTGGATGGGGGAACAAACAAAATGCTAGTGCAACGTCATGGAAATGATAAGAAATGCATCAGCAACAATGCTAGAGTCCTTCATAAGATATTATCCAGAGTTAGTTTCTGTTTTGAACTTCAAACTCTGTTTAGAATTTGGCACAGATAATCAGTGGCAAAAATAAGACTGACATTTGACAGGACAATGAGAATGCTTTCCACTGTGAAACTTATGTCTCTAAGAGAGTTTTTTTTTCTTTGTGTCTTCCAGGTGCCTCTTTGGTATCAGTTGAAGACTCAGCTGAAGCCAACTTTCTGGCATACAGCATTGAACCACTTGAAGGAAAAACATCAACTTTTTGGACAGGAATGTACAGAAATGTGGATGGTAATTTCTTTACTTTTGACATCTTCTTGTTTGGTGAATAATTGTCACAAGCTGTTTGACAAGGGTGTTGAAAATTTCACCTTATACTTCTGTAATACATGAAAAGTGAAATTAGGGGGAAGCTGGTCAATTGTGATCAAGCAATAACCAGTAATATATAACAGAAAGACCAGGCACAGAAAGTTCATTTTAAAGCAAGAAAAATAATTCACAACAAAGTAAGGCACAAAAGTGCATATAGCAGAGTACAGACAGGACCATGCTGGGAGTTGAGCCAAACTCAGATGGTTCTTGTCAAATGTGGAGAGGCCCTGGGTTGATGGGCTTGAGATACTCCAATTTTTGAGCTAGACAATAATATGGCTAACATTACCTCTAGTCTTTGGAGTCACCATCCTGGAATGACCAGTCACCCATCTTTAGTTACAGCTGGCCCTCAGAACAGCTTCGCTTTGAAGCTGGAATTATTTGTGTCTTTGGAATTGTGTATCACAAGTTTTTCTATTTTCTGTCTCACTGTGAGGAAGGTAAAGTAAGAGAGAACAGGCAATAGGCTGCTTTAATTAAATCTTAAACTTGCTGATTATTGCTTTTTCATTAATACAATTAGTATTAAATTAAACAGATATTTCTGTGTTACGATAGACCTAAAAGTTACTTCAGTCTTGTGCTGTTCAGACTAAAGGGTCCAGTATAACAATGTGAGATGCAGGACTGCGAAATTGTTCAGGTGACTTGGGGTGGGGTTTTCTTGAGTTTTGGAAGGTTTTTTTCACGACTTCCTGCTCAACCACTTCAATGACAAACTAGCTGGGGAGAAGACAACTGTTCAATTACAGTACTTGAATCTTAACCAGAAAAAGTTTTCAGTAGAGGATGAAAGAATTTGAAGAGAGTAATGATTTATAAACATAACACATAAAGAAAAGCTGAAGTTTACTCATGTGGTTAATTGACACACAAAATGTTTTTTAAAGTGGGTCTAGAGCAGGTGCAGAACAATACAGCTCTCAGCGATCACAAACACAAGAGCTGCTTCAGCAAGTACATGTCATTATATTACTGGATAGTGATTATAGTGATTTCAGCATAACTGCATAACTAGATTTCATATCTTTGGAAAAGTGATTGTATCCAGATGCTATGCCCTGACACAAAGGGTGGCAGGCATTTAAAAAAAAAAAGGCAGCAAAATATAAAAACTTTATAAGAAAACAAAACATAGGTTTCATGCTGAGTCTAAGAATTTTCTTGTTTGAGTACAATTTAAGAGTCACAAGGGGCACGTTTATTCTAAATAAATAATACTATTAAAAGAAAGAAAGAAAAAAAGGAACCGGAAGGAAGAGACAGAAAGTCCCAGCATAGTTGAACAACAGTGATCACAAGATTTTTGAAGCAGATATTTAAAGAGGAAAATCGTGTGTGTAAAGTCAGTGGAAAGCAGCAGAAACTGAAACCCAGATGGAATAAAATTGGTCTTAGAAGGACTTCAGTGGGGACTTTGAAAAAAGTAATACAAAACCTCCCTACAAATTACTGAAACAAAGGACATTCTGGTGAAGATAAATTATGTTTTGACATCAGTAATTTCTATAAACTGAATAAATAATTGACACTGCACCATTGCAATAAATTGTGGGAGATACTTCTTTAAACTTTCTTGCCTTTGTAACATCATAAGCCAGATTAGCCTGCCATTTTCCAAAGATTGATGTTGTATCATTTGCATAAAAACTTAAGGGCAACATGATGTATCAGATCAAAAATCTAAATAGTCTAGTGGCCTGTCTCCAAGGCCACAAATAGATTTCTCAGGAAGGCAATGAATGTGGAGCAGGTGTCAACATGGAAATGAATACTATCTTGTTTTTCCATATTCAATGTTTTTCCAATTAGGAGAATGGTTGTGGTTAGACAACACTGCAGTGAATTTTGTCAACTGGAATGTGGGAGAACCTTCCCCTCAACAAAACGAGCACTGTGTTGAAATGTACGCAAACTCTGGGTACTGGAATAATATCTATTGCTCTTCATACAAAGGCTATGTTTGTAAAAAGCCAAAAAGTAAGTGCTGCTTTTATGAATTTGTTTTGTGTATGGAGTATGCTCCTTGCGTGCTAGTATTAGTAGATGGCAGTTACACACAGTGCACTTTAACTGGGTGTTTTGAGGTTTTATAAATGCCAAGAAATGCACATTTGCATGCCAACATAAAGACAGAATAACTCTTGTCACAAAGTAGAAGTTCTGGCCTCTGCTCAAGTCCCTTCAGAATTGTTTTAAAAAGATTGTGTTCCTATCTTAACTGTACCTAGTGTATACACTTAATAAGTTTGCCTGTTCTGTATCAATAATTGTTCAGTAATCACAATGTTAGTACTGTGCCTTGCACACACAAATTTATCTCATCTATTTGAAAATGTGTTCCTTAGGGTATCCCCACTGCTCAGCCCAGGGAGTACTCTTTGCTTCTTTCCCTCTGGCAGTCTCATGTGCATGGATTTTCCGAGTATGAAGTAGTGTTCCTGTGAACTGAATATTTATGCATTGTGAATTAGTGAACAGTTTCGGACCTTTTGTCTCTGTGTTCTCCTGTTTTGAGAAGATGAATGAATGAAAAGCAAAGCAAATAGCATAGTCTGAATATGCTAAACTGAAAGTGTCCTGAAATAGTTGAATATGCGAATTTGACAGGAAGGACATCTACTGCATAGGTGTTCCTAAGAGCCATCCTAATAATTTCTTCCAGCATGTACTGCAATATCAAAATCTCTTACTAATGTTTACTGAGAAAAGTGAAATGCATGTAGTAGCTGAAATATGCCTACTTCCTCTACAAGACTGGAAATGAGAGAAATTCTGCTATTCTTTCTACAAATTTGCTGTCATGCAAAATTATTCTTACTTACTCAGATGCTTGTAATGATGACTGTATCTTCTACAGGAAATACTGCAGAACTGTCAGATGTAACCATCCATTCAGAATCTACTTATCTGTCTTTTTACATTGTGATTGACAAAAAAAGAGGCACTTTATTTTCATTCTCTGTCCAGAATAGTCATAAATGTAGGTAACAAGTGTTAAAATCAATGGCCACCCTTCCTTTTCAACCATTCTACTCACCTGTTTGTGCTCGTACCGGCATTCACCTGTTTTGATACTGAGCCATTTCAAGGAGCTGAAGCAGATGAAAGCTAGTTACTTTTTCTAGGATTAGCTTCAGCCAGTCTAGCCTCCTAAGCTGGAATGCCATGGAATCTGCCAAATGCCAGTGTCAATGCAAGGACTATATAGTTGCTCACTCAAGAACAGGACACAATTGAGTCTTAACAGTTCTGTCACAGGAATGCAGCTTGGCTTGGCACAGTTCTGCAAAGCTGTGATAATGCTCCCTTTGCAGAATTGAAAAAAATGTATTAAATAGCTATAGGCTAATAAATGGGGTGTTAGAAGCATGATTTTACTTAGTTGCACTTGCTATGGCTTGTTATGTTTGCTGTTTTCTGAAGAGGCTGCAAACGCAAAACTGTGACTGAAATTTTCCTGTAGAATAGGTGCTATTTTCTGTTCCATTTATTGAGGTAATTTTTACCACAGTAATTTGAAATTCTGTAGCAGGTCTATTTCATGAATAATCTAACTTTATTTCGTGAGTAAGGAGGTGGTCTAAAGAACTATTCAGCAGTTCAACAGGTGCTAGTTGATTGTGCTACAAATAGTGACTAGGTATATTATGTTCATGACATCTCACTCTTCAGGAATAGCAGATTCATTTCCCTAAATATACTGCTTGTTTAACATGTGGGTAGGTTTAGCATGCAGTCATCTCATATCAAAACCCAACAGTGATGTACATAATATGCATGATCAGTGCTATACCAAAATTGGTCAGTCAGTTTTGGTGAGGAACAAGGAATAAGTGTCTATGTTATTATATTCCAAAAATTTTCCAATCAAATGAAGCAGTGCAGCCAGAGGATTATTTTCCAAATTTGCATAATGTAAATTATTCCTCCTATTCCTTGTCACATTTCTGAGACTGTTTCTTTACACTGTGCTTTTAGACATAAGATAGCATTATCTTCACAGAATCACAGAACAATTGAGGTTGGAAGGGATGTCTGGAGGTCATCTGGTCCAATCCCTGAGCAGGGCAACCTACAGCCAGGTGCCCAGGACCATGTCCAGATGGGTTGTGAGTATCTCCATGCATGGAGACTCCACAAGCTCCCTGGACAACCTGTGCCAGTGCTTAGTCATCCTCACAGTGAAAAAGTGTTTCCTGATGTTCAGAGGAAACCTCCTGTGTTCCAGCTGGTGCCCATTGTCTCTGGTCCTGTCACTGTGCGCCACTGAGAAAAGCCTGGCTCCATCCTCTTTACACTCTCCTTTCAGATACTTGTATACAATGATAAGATCCCCTGTGAACGCTCTCTTCGAGGCTAAACAGTTCCAGATCTTTCAGCCTTTCCTCACATTAAGAGAAGCTCAAGTCCCTTCATCATCTTATTGGCCCTTTGCTGGACTCCCTCCAGCAGCACTCTCATTCTCTTGTACTGGGGAGTCTAGAACTGGACACAACATGTCATGTAGCGCACATGCAATGCCTCCAGAGAGCACTTCATCTTAAATGATGGCCCACTTTTCCCAGCAAGCCAGATTTCGTGGTCCAGATATTAAATTTTAAATGAGCTACAAACATTTTAGTTGGATGTGGTATGTGCTAAGACACTTTGGAGTTCATGAGTGATTCCAATTGTCTATGTATGTAGGGAATTAGTCTTTTGAGAAACCAAATTTGTTACATTTGCTATGTTTATGTAAGATAACAAGTACTGTAAGAATTTGTAATTATATTGAGGATTGTGTTTGATCATCTCTGTCTTGAAGATGCTGTGTAGATTTTGTTGTGGTTTTACACTGATGTCAGCATCTGTCTCCATGGAGCTCTTTGATGCTTCCTCTTTTCTGCTAGGCTATGTAAATAACTACATGTGAGACCAGAATACAATAGACCATTGTGCTATGGCTTTTGATAGGTGTATATAGCTTTGTATGGACTAAACCCAAGTGTTTTCAGTATTTAGTGGTATGTATTACAATATATTTCTCTGAATATAATTGTCAGTATGTTCCAAATATAGAAATAAATAACAGAATAATGCAATAACATAATTCTTTTTCAATGTTTTGAAATGCCAGCAACCGAAATGCCACCAGAAGCTGAAATGCCCCCAGCTGAAATGCCTACAAAGGGTAAAAACATTTTTTTTCAAGTACACAAAAACTAGTCCTGTGTAAGATCTTAAACAGAACAAATCATATTCTGTATTATCTCTCCTACATTTTCTGACATATTTGAGTACCATATCTGTTTCCTAGGAGCATATTATTTCCTAGTAGAATACAATATACTCCATTCAGTGTCCAAATGCAGTTTTAAAAAAATAATAATAATTTGTGATAGAGCATGCAATGTTAGCATTTTAAAATCAATTAATTTTATGTTGCTACCTTTGTTTCTCATTATTTTGAAACAAATGGGACACTTTTCCCTAAAACATCATGCTTTCTGAATAGTTTCCAGTAATCAAAGAAAGAGTGTGTAGCATCCTCTTGATTTCTTTGTATTTTATTTTCAGCAATGACAAAGGACGAGAAGGCTCCTACGCTGAACCATGGTAAAACAGGAGTTGTAGTTATTGTTGTCATCCTCATCCTAATGGGAAGTGGCCTTGCAGGCTATCTCTTCTACAAAAGAAGAAAGAATCGCTTGTCAGCAAATGACAGCTTTGAGAACAATTTGTATTTTAATAGTGATGCAGTTCCTGGAACTAGTGACACAAAGGATCTTGTGACCAACATAGAACAGAATGAACATGCGACACTGTAATGTAATAAAATGAAATGTAATGTAATATGTAATGTAAAATGTAATGTAATAAAATGAAATGTGCCTTGTTTTAATAAAATTATGCAATTAGAATTAAGCCAAAGCTATTTTCTCATGTGCAAATACTGTAGCAGCCAGTTTCAGTGTGTGCGTAAGGCTATACACAGCAGTTATTTTTATTTTGTAACCATTGTATAATGTGTAAGATTTCAGAACTCAATGATTTGATGACCCACACTGGTGAGTGCAGGTCTTAAGAAAAGAGATGATATTGACTAATTATTAAATGGAACAATAGAAATGGATGCAATAAAGGAAGTAAAATGTAGATACATCCATTTGAGAAAACTCCCAAGATTTGAAGTTTCTGCACCAGAGTTATTTCAAACCATACTAATGCACAGATTCTGCAAGCTATTCAGCAAACATATCTCTAATTCTACCATCTTTCAAGTATTCCTAGGGACTTAACTACAGGGGTAGTTGCTAGATGACAAGTCTGTATGTAGGCACATCCTCTTTGAACCACATGGGGAAAAAATCCTTTTATGATATAATTTCAATTCCCACAATTTCACACAACACAGAGAACCAAGAATGTAGTTCTTGTAGTTTATGTATTCTAGGATTTAATCGGGTAAAATCTGGGTGCAGGCCTGTGGAATGGGAAAGTGTGGTTGGCATTAACTGCCAGTGTTCTGGCTGGCCACAAGTGGGTTTGTCTGGGAGAGGAGATGAAGGTCACGGCAAAACTTCCTTCTTATCAGGACAACAGTTACTGAGGAGTGGGAGGAACATTACCTACACATGTTCTGAAAGTTTACAGGAGCACTGGATAGCTGTTATGGTGATCACATATGGGTACTGCTCTCCTACTGCCTCTCAATAAGTACCATAGGTTTGTGGGGTGTGTGCTGGAAGTCAAGAACAATTTATCTTTACCAACCTATTAGTTAGTACTGATTTTAATTCCTTTCTAAAATGGCTAGACCGGTTACCATTTATGGAAGTCTTAGGTTCCCCAATGTGGAGCTTATATTCCTAATTTTTGTGAATCTTGTAAAATGTAATTCATGCGTGATTCCTCACTTGCATACAAAGGTTTGCAAGGTTTGGTTTGTGGTTTCAGATTTTGTTCTGTGAAATAAATAGTAACTAGCTTTGATTTTTTAAATAGTTTTTCATTTTGTAGTCTTGTATATATAAGACTTTAACAGGATAAAGTTAAAAAGGAGATGATAAAACCATGGAGACTCTCCATCCAAAGTTGCGATCAAGTAATATATTGACCATATTTTCCTGAATCGGTCCCAGGACTGTCTGCTCAAAAGGAAGACAAAAATGTCAGCTGAGTGATTTATTAAAAACCTTGAATTACATATGCGTGTAGGTAAGATGGGGAAATTCATCCTGGGACTCCTTTTCTCTGACTCTGCTCCCTTTCTCCCAGTTATTTCCTTGCCTCTGTTCCTACTGCTCTTTCCATTTTTAATGCACAGTTGTTTGAGCATGTCTTTTCAAGGAGTAGTACATCTAATGGTTCTTCATGCCACCTGATGTGGCTTATGCCAGAAACCTCCCAAGTGACTGATTCATGATGTTAAGGATGACACCATTTCAATTATATGGAGAAGTGGTGCCAGCTAGAAAGGTATGTGAAAGGGACAGTGAACGGTCAAGAGGCCGAGATTGGAATCTCAGCCTCACTGCACTGGCTGTTGTGCAAACAACAAACAAGTGCAGTTTCTACCCAAAAGAAGTTCAGTCCTGTTCTGGGGGACTGCACAATCTTATGGCAGTATCTGCACAGCGAGTGATTCTTCCAGGTAACTTTTTATCACATGTATCACATATGGAAATGTATGATTGGAAAGAAAAGGAAGATTGAGGGGATGTCTCATTTCTGGTGCTTTGCCATACTTAACAGGTACATCTCTACAGCTAAAAAGTGTCAGGGAGAGAATCCAGGAACTACAGCCTGGATGGTCTTGAACTCATTCACCCATTTATACTGCCTGAAACCCAGCATCAACTTTGAGTTGAAGACAATTAAAAATGCCGTGCTAGTTAATAGCTGGCAGTTGATGTAGCTGCTTCTGTGAAATGCTGTGTGTGTTCTGCTCTCCTGTTCAAATAGGTACAGAAAAAATAGAGGATCCAAATCAGAAGCTCTACTCTAAAGATGGATCTACTTGGCCTGCTCATTTTAGAAAAAGCATGAGTGAGAAAGATTTGAAAGATTTTCAGAAGAGGAGGAAATTTAAATTTACTGTCCCTCCTATTGCAATACAATGGGATTGAAGCAAATTTCCCATTCAAAAAAGCAAACATGGAAACAGTGGCATTTACAGGACAGGAAATCATTATGGTTCCATGTAGTAGGCTGAAGATGAGCACCGAAACTCTCTACTCAAACTCTAATAGGAATTTTTGAATGGAAGGTAGAGAAACAAACAAGCTTGAACACTTTAAACAATACCTCATTAATATAAGAGTAAATTAAAGTCTTTTACCTAGGGAGTTGTAATTATAAAAAGTCAGATTTCTTGTTTTTTTGTTTTGGTGGTGTTTGCTTGGGTTTGTTTGTTTGGGTTTGTTTGTTTGTTTGGGTTTTTGTTGGTTTTTTCCTTTCTTCCACCCCCCCCCCCTTCCCCAGCTAGTACCTTTCAGTGATGGCAACCAATTTATTAGACTGTCTGAATACAGAGTCCAGTCCTAGGTTTTTAACATCATATTTCCATTGGTCATACTTGTGACAATAATGATCATACAATTTCAAGAAAAATTGAGAGAATAGTTTCCAAACTAGTATTCTCTTTCCACACCGTCATGTTAATTCCATCTTCTCTGGACTGAGTTGTTGTGTAATGGTTTTACCAAACATCATTTGGTGATCTGGCATTATGTCCTCTTTTTCTGCTGCCAAGCTGCAATGCTCCTGACAAGTGATTGACTACATCAAAAAAGTTTTGAAGATTGGGCTGGGGAAATTATACATGCTGCTCTATTTGACTGAAAAAAAAAGCAGTGTGTCTTCTTGGAAATTATTCATATTCATATGGATGCCATATAATTTGTTACTTAATGTATGCTGATCCTTCACCAGTTCTTTCAGCCATTTTCTACTGCCGGCTGCTGTTGCTGTTGGGATCGGTCCGTTGCCTTAGAACCCCTCTGTTGTTCTTGTGATCTCTTATTTTGTCTCCTGAGTAAATGCCACTACTTAGGGGAGGTTTCAGGCTGTATGCTGCATAAATATACATTCACAGAGGAATTGGGATGTCGCTTTTCTGAATATTCTTGCTATAAAACCAAGGAAAATAGTTTCTTGATAAACAAGATGAAACATAAGTGATGGATAGAAAAGCAAAGGAAATTTTTAACTGATCACTAGTAATTCATATCCATAATCCTCTGATTCTGCTGAGATTTCTTACGTTTGATCTTGTTGGTTTAGCTAAATGAAAGAAAAAATAACATTGATTATGTGGCATGAAAATATAGCATGAAAGCACAAGGTGCCTTATGTTGCTCTTTCAGTATGTTTTGGGCCTGTCTAAAGAAATGGAAAGCTTGTTCAGTCTCTGCATTTTTTTTAGGCTAGAATACTTCTATGGAGGTTTAGACCATGTCGTCTTTTTTTTTTTTAAAAGTTTTCAATTAGAAACTGCAATTGTGCTCTATGTGGGGATTCTGGGTTGAAATCTTATATCAAGTTATAGCAGGCTAAATGATCACAAAATTCCTTTCAGATTTTAATACCAGTGGTTTTTTGAAAATGAATTATTGAACTTCTGTAGGGAAGCATCTGGCTGAACCTGGATGGACTCACCCATGCATTTCCACCGGCAGCTGAGGAATGACTTGATGGCAATATTCGATAGCGTGTAAAGGTTTGTCTCTGCACATTGCTACGTTTCTTGATGCCCTTGTGCTTAATTTTCGTTTCCCCTTTTCTCCAGAAGAGTTCAGACTTCAGAGAAAAGGTGGCAAATCTGCACACTGTGAGTGTAACTTCCTGCCCACGAGCAGAGATTGCCAAAGGAACAATGCTGACTCAACACAAAACCCAGCAGCCTTTCTTCCTCACCACTTCTAAACTGCCAGGCTGTGCCTTGCCAAGTGGAAGATGCTGGAGTGCATCTTTGCAATCTTCTGATTTTCTTTCCCACTTTGTGGGCTGTGGCGGGGTCTGCTCAGACAAACATACAAACACTAAGGTGAAGCTGACCTTAGTATGTTTTGCTCTTTTTCAGCCTCTCTCAGCAGACCATCAATAACAGTCCTTCACCAAACACCGATCTTTCTCCAGAACAGAACTAGTTTCTTTTTTCCTGTTGTAATTGTACTTGTTGCCTCCCGGTAGCTTTGGAGATGCTGAGATGTTTTATACAGCAGAATGACAAGACACTACATTCCTCCTGCCTAAATAATAAATAAGAATATTTTTCTGTCTGCACATCTGGAGCTCCTGAACAAGGAAGCATGGAAAGTTGGAAACGTGAGGTTGCAGAGTCAAGCATTCCTATGTTGGGGAATACCAGAATGCCTTACTTCAGACTCAGTGCAGCCATCCTTGCATATGCATCATACTTACTGAGTAATTGACCATCTGCTGCTTTGTTGAGGCAGCCCTCTCTTTTCTCCCACTTTCCTCAGGTCTCAGTGACTTTCTCAGGCTCCCATTCTTTCCATGTTTTTGGTCTAGCTGTACCTGCTGGCCTTCAGGTGCCACTATTTTCTCTTACTGTTGTAATTCTTGTTCTGCTGTAATTCCTTGTGTACCTTTTTAGACCTAATGAGTTGTCCATCTGCATCTGAGTCAGAACAACAGAAGCAGGATCCCTCATCTTCATCTTGGTGTCCATGGTTTTCATTGCCTGCAACAGCAGAAATTTTAAGTCAAAGACCCTAAAGAGTATTTGCTGCAAATACGATATTGGGGAAGTTATCCCAAACCAGCCTCTCCTGAAGATATGGGAACTGAAATTTTTCAAAGGCCATAAGCAAAAGGGATGTAAAAATTCCCCAGGAGTGCCTTTTCTCTTCCCTACCCTCTCCATGTTTCTAATTCTTTTACCTATCATGAAGGAGAAAGCTTGTTCAAAGTAAACTTCAGA